GCCCCAAAACTCTGACACCCTCGTGGGCTTTGTGACGGCCCAGGGGCTCTGTGTGGTACATGACTGAGAAGAGAAAAACAAAAATAAATCATACCTCAAAGGACAGAGTGCATCAATTGGGAGGACAGGAGACACAGCCCAAACCCTGGCTTATTCTTGGGATCTACCGATTGTGGGCTCTGCAAGACCCTTGGCAAACTGGCTTCTGATCCATATCATATTTATTTGTAGAAGATGGCGAAACAGTTTAGCTGGTGGTTCTTCTTCTCCCTTTCTCTTTCCATATAAAATAATACAAACCAATTTAGGTGAACATTTATATCCAATAAGGGGTGGGAGTGTGATTTTAAATTCTCTTTTGGGAGAACAAAAAAATTAATGTAAATAAGATTTCTAACTTACTGTTTAAGACTTTATATAAATGTTTAAAACATAGGGGTAGGGAGGGAGGGAGAATTTTTGTATAGAATGAAACATGCAGGTACCACACACTGTTTGAATTTTGCACAAAAGTGACTGTAGGGGGATCAAGTGATAGCCCCAGAATGTACAGTGTCTTGGTGCACCAAGGTGCCTTCTAAAGGCTGACATACCTTGGACCCTAGTGAGGCAGAGAGTATAGCCCTAGCCCAGTGATCACATGACCACTGTTAAGCCTGAGAGCCTTTGGAGGGCCTGAGGTAGAAGGGAGTGGTATGTGTGTTCTCAGTGGAAGCAGCACATGAATGGCTGCCAATATGTGTTAGATAAAGTCTCTAGTTAGGGTGTCATTGTCATTTGAGAGACTTGTAGAGCTCTGCACTCTTACCAGCTGGTAAAGGGGCACTGGAGACCATGGAAGAGCTCCAGAAACATTAGCACGGCTGATCCGATTGCTTCCTGGCATCCTGCTCACTTTTATGGTTAGTCTTACTAGAGGGATGTGACAGTTCTCCATATCCTTGCTGTGGAGCTCTGGAACACTCTCAGAATTCCCACTATTAAAAATCACTGCCCTAAGTACCCTTCCTCCTTGAGGGAATAGAAATATTTTATACTTCTTGTCATGGAACCAGCCACAAATGAGATTCTGATGTGTCCAGGTTTCTCCTGAGCTCATCTACATAGATTGGGAGACCCTCCTTTGGATTTAGGAAAGAGGGGTTTTACCTCTGGTACACTGTCTTGGAAAGCCTAGCTAGATGTGACAGACATCTCGGCCCTCCTTGAACAAGAAAGCCAGCAGAACTCTTTTAAAGCCAGGTGCAGTACCCATCGGAGTTGTCAGCACTCACTGAACCCCAATTTGCAGGGATAGTATGGTGTGGCATTTTGAAGACAATGGTATGTTACTGCCAGGGGGTGAGGTACAAGACGATGGCTCATGTCCCAGGCCTACCTGATACAGTGTCAAGAGAAAGTGGTAGGGAAAGGATCTGGTTCATGGAATTCTGATCTTAGCCCATTGGTGAACCCCCCAAATAGCACTTGAGTCTTAGACTCAAGTCAAAGACTTGGGATGACCCCATTATATCCTAGGATTGTGGGTATTAGAACTAAACGGTGAGGCCCTGGGCATGGGGATTGGCATCCTCAGTAGGTGTTTGGGAATATGGGAAGGGTCTCCTATTTACTCAGTAGAGTTTTCTCAAGTTATTTTCCTCCCTTCCCCTTCCAATCTCCAGCAAAAGCTGGGATCCAGGAAGGAAGAATCTAGTGTAGAAGTTGAGAAGATCTTGAGTATTTTGGATAGGGTCATTGCCCTGGGTGCTAGGTGAACCAAGTAAAAGACTCAGTGGATGAGCTGGTGCAGTGCCTGACAGAATAAAAAACAGTATTAATCCCTTTGAGAAAGCATAGTCCAATAGGACAGTGGCCATCTGGACAGAAGCCCACTTAGTTTCATGGGAGCAACAGCACATATCAGAAGCCAGAATTGCTCTTCGGTCATGCACTTGGGGATACAGGGTATAGATGCAGCCCTGTCACAACACCAACAGAAGTAGCAGCCTCTGGGCGCAGTCACCCACACCCCAAAGCTGGAAGAATCTGGTTCAACATAGCACAAACCCTTCGGAAAAATGAAATTAACATCACTGATGTGTAATCCAGGAAGATCTCCCTCTTTTGGGTGTGTATGTGGGCATGTTTGTGCCCATTTCTATGTGTGCGTCTACGTGCAACTCACTACCAACAGCCTCATGTGCACTTGTCCTGAGTGCTCGCTGAGAACTCTCACCAGGTTGGCGCCTGAATGCCTTACTCTCAGCAGTCAGAGGCTTGCTTGCTCTGTGCAGATTTTTAATTTTCTTTTTTGGCCCTAGGCTGGTTGGGACCTCTGCAGCTTCATTCTTTCACCATTAAATAGTGGCCTTTTTCAGTATTTTTCCTCTTCCCCTTTATAAATTGCTAAAGCCACAAAGCACATTTTTGGGGATCATAGGAGGTTGGGGTTCCAGAAGGGGATCTGTGTGATGGTTCCGTTGATGTGGGATTTCCCTACTTGCTGTATTCTCAATTTCTAATAAAAAGAACCAAATGAAATGTGAACTTCTGTTGTGTATTTTTTATTGCTATTCAGCTTACCTCCCCTTAGCTTTTGACACTTTTTTGAAGCTGTAAGTTAGACACTGAGATTTAAGAAACTTTTGGAAACTTCCCATTTGGGATGCACAAATCAAATGCTTATGCCCAACTCCTGTTTCCTAACTCAAGATTTCATCATGATTTGGACCAGGTTTAGAATGGAGGGGAGAGCAACTCTAAGGGACAGTTCTCAATTTATTATTGAAGTTTATAAAAATAGTCTCTGATGTAACACTTGATGCCAAAGGATGTGTTGGAGAACTGCTGATGTCATGTGATCATAATCACACCCCTTTGAGCCAGTCAGGATTATTTTCACTCTCATTTTATAGATGGGGAAACTGAAGCTTAAGAAGTTTAAGAATGTAGTGCCAGCACTGTATTGGAGAAGAGTGAAGGGGAAATCCAAGAAGAAAACATTTCTTTCTGTACTTAAGTTTATTATTCTGATTAAAAAGTCTCATGTACATTGACTTAAAGGTTTTTGGGCTCATTAACCTAGTCCCTTCTATGTTAGAAGAGGATCTGGTTCAATTGGTCTTTGAAATAAAAGGAAATGCCAACCCTTTTGCCTTAGGTAAATTTAGTTTTTGGAAGGGAATTTTCAATATTGGGACTATGTTTACTCTGAATTCTCATTTTTGATTATAGATACAATTTTAGTGTCCCATACGTTATCTGGGTATGGACACTGGATCATTTCCTGCTTTTAACAAACAATATAAGCTGAAGCCTACTAATAAACCACTTTGTCTTTTCCTAGTCTCTTACTAAAAGCTGTCTGTATGGCTCCTGTTACTCAGGTGATGTTACGTGCATGTTGTAGAGGAGGTAGCTAAGGATAAGTTTGGATTCTGACTTTACAGAGTGCTAGGGCTCCGGTTGCCGAGAGAAGCCTCTGGGTAGTATTACTCTAAAATCATCCCAGAAACAACATCCACTTCTTGAATATTCTGCATTAATTGTAGTGTTTCATTTTGTCTTTCCCTCAGAGGGCATGAACCATTTGCTAGCCAGCGCCGCCCCCCAACACCCTATCTAATGTACAAATCTGTTCTGCCTTCATCTGTTCGATGTGGTGAAACAAGGCCAGCCTGGCTCACTCATGTAGGGCTGCTGCTGATGGCATGGGTCAGGGAGGGGCAGGAAAGAAGATGCCCGAGCATGCAGCCTCGTGTCACTGCCATCCTATTGTCCCACGTCCCTGCCTTGCTACACTACCTGGAAATGAAAAGCGTAGCTTCAGATCTTGGTTGTGCCATTTGCCATGTAGCGTGGGCAAGTGGCCGTTTGCTTTTCTAGCCTTGGTGTTCTGTTAAAAAGAGGCCAGCGATGCATCCTCTAGAGGCTTCGCTGAGATGCTGTTGCTCCTGTAGATCATTTCCTCAAATTTCCCATAGTGATTGGGGTTTCTGCCAGACCCTTGCTCCAACTCCTTCCTTTTGTGGACTTCGTTTACTTTTCTGGCCTTACGATATGCTCACTTTCTTGGCCCCCGCCCCGAACCAAAACTTCACTGAGCATTATGAAATGGTTGAAGCATTTTCCCTGAAAGCTCTTCTATTAAAATATACAACATTATTAGGGTAGATTTAGTAGTTAACATATCCTTGATACTGAGGAAGGAGGATCTGACAGCATCTTTGAGTTCCTGGTCCTTCAAATGTGTACAACGCTAAAATTTCAATAATTCTTCACTCTATTAAATGACTTAGGTTCCAACCTCGTGTCTCCGAGCAGGTACTGGGCTTTAGCGTAAGCCAGGCTGCCACCTGCTGTCCACTAGTGGTTCTGCTAAAAGAAAAGGAGGAATTGTTTTGACCTTCGAAGGCAAAACTTAAGAGAATACTCTGTTCTCCAAGGTAGAGAAGGTTTATCAGAAGTGGTTTTTCCTTCCAATGGTCTTGAAAGGGATTCCCAGATCTTACAGCCCCCTTGGCCATGCAGAGACATGGGACCCAGAGGAAGCCGACAAAACAAGGCCAGAAGCTGCTCCAGCTTCCTAAGCTTGCCTTTTTAAGAGTTGATAAATTTGCATGAAAGTGCTTTTCCTGTTTGGGTAGGGAAGATAAGCCTTCCAAAAAATAACACTGGGTTGGTTATTGTCCTAGAGACACTGCTGGTCAGTCTCTGTTAGTTGGTAGTTGGGGTTAAATGCAGTTGGAGTGTCTTAATGCGAAAGAATGAACAGCAGGTGGGGCGGCCACAGCCTTGGCAGGAAGCGGCAGGGCAAGGGTTAGGGTGTACTCACCCTGCTGTGTGCAGCACAGGTGGGGCCTCGTGACACATAGTTGCCACACTCAGCAATGGTGGCCCAGGGACTGGGAAGAGCTCCTTGCTGCCTTCTTAACCCCTCTGGGCCTATTGGACACCTTATTGTTCCTGGCATCTAAATTGTAATTTCTTTGTCCCCACCTCCATGAAACAAGGTAACGTAATGATAGCAGTTAGCATGTATTTATTTAGCGTTTACTATATGCCAGGCAGTTTCAAGCATGTTACATGAATATATCACATTCAATCTTCACCATACTCTTCCAATAATTTCGAGGCAATTTTCAACTCTCCTGCAGTTTCTATAACATGGTACTAATGCTAGTACCCACTTTCAGGGGGCTGTTGTGAGGATGGAATGAGCTGAAACATGTTATTTGGTACATGTAAACCTTAGCGTTCTAGCATTATCCTGCCACTTAAACTGGCTTCTCTGAGCTGCAATGTCTTCTGCTGTAAGGGGGCATTAATTCTGCCCTCACGGGGTTGTTGCAAGACAGGACGATAAGAGTGACATCCTGTAATCTATAATGTGTGTTTTACAGCGTTGGCCTGCTCTAGAGGGAAGTTAGGGCTATTTGCTGGTAGGAGACTTGAACAGCTTGTACTTTAAAGTGTGGAGACTGAGGGTGATGGAGGAGCAGCAGGAAGGGCCCCCAAAGCCCCACATACTATCCAAGCTCATCACTGGGGTTGGTTAAACGGAAGGATTTGAGGCTTCTCCTGAATTTCCCCATGGTTTTGCCCTTAATGTTGCCCTCACTGTGGAGACTGTCATCTCCTGGGATCCAGGTCCTGGGGTTTGGAGGGGGGAGGAAGCTGCAGGGCCTTGGGACCCTGGGGGAGATGTGTGTGCGCTGGGGGTGAGTTCCCAGATACAGCTTCCCTCCCAGTGGACCCTGCTTAGCAAATTGGAATGTTCCCACAAGTTCCAATCCTAAGGATTTCACCCCAGGGACAGAGTCAAGTGGATTCTTTTGTAAATCAGTGGCCAGAAAAAGAATACAAGGACTGCTCTTCTTCACTATGTTACAGCTGTTTTTGCCGTCCCCTGAATGCACATCAATTTCCATGCAGCAGTTGATATCCCTACTGCCTTGTCATAGATGCAAACTTTCCTTTAAGTTAGGGCTTTGTAAAGAAGTTTTGGGAAGTTCTTCAATAACAACTTCCCAAAACATCAGATGCAGCCCTGTCGATATTTCCTAAAAGGATTTCATATCTTTCTCGTCTTTACCATTCCCTTACCCAACCTCCACCCCTCCACCCCAACACAGTCAAAACTTTTTTGAGCAGCAGCTAGTAAAGTGAGCTGCCTTGCCTTCCACCTTGAGCCTCCTTTGGGGAATCTATGCTTTAGTTGGGGCATGTTCTTGCTTTAGCCTCATCTCTGCAATTGGCCTCATTCTGCTGCTTTTTCTCAGTGCTCGGAAGTCCTTGGGTTCTACTGGAGACCACTCAGAAGCATCTGACCCTTTTTTGGCTGGGTCTGGACTCTGGCATATAGGAGGAACTAAATTATTTTGTCTTGGTCCAAGCTGAGCTCATGTTGGCTTCCCCAGAGGATACAGGAAGGTTAGAAGGATGCTCCTTTTGAGACCTGGGCGGATGGTATTGGGCACCATTGAGCATCTTGCAGGTGGCGCCAGGTGACTGGTTTCTTGTTCCATCCAGCATTCTCCGGAGGCAGGAGCCAGGATTGAGAGGAGCATTGGTCTGGGGGTGACCCAACTGCAGTTAGTTGCATCCCATGTCCGTGCTGGCTTTTGGGATGGTTCTGGAGGGATCGCTTTGCCAAAACACAGGTCAGGCTGGGTGGTGTCACCTCAGGAGTTGGGGCAGTAGCCCCCAGGCACACAGAGGCATCAGGAGTAGGGGCAGCGAGGCTGAGGTGTCTGAGGCACCGCCGCAGTCCTGGGCATTCTCCTGCGAACCCGGAGCAGAGGTGAGAGGGCAGCACTCAGAGAAGGAACCCCAAAAAGAGAGGGGCCTCCACCACTAATGGGGGCCAAAATCCTGGGGAAAGGGGAGTTTCAGAAAGCCGGGGAAGCACTGCCACCTTCCTTAGGCCCCTACCTTTTGGGAGAAAAGCAGAGCCTGCCCCCTCAGGCTGGGAGGGGAGATCAGCCTTCTCTACTGGCCCCCAGGCTTGGAGTGGCTGTAGGATCACCCTCTCAGAATGGCTTCAGGAAAGCCCTGAACTCTGGGAGCATCTCTGATGGGGATTATTCGGGGCAGCCCTGCCCAACAGACTGGACGGTGTATGAAGCACCTGGCTCAGGATCCATACCAGCCACTACGACTGTTATCCACATGACAGCCTCTTCACATTGCTCAGATCATTCAGACCTAAGTGTAGTGGGAATGCAGGCAAGACGGGAAAACGGCATTCTAATTCACCCAGGGCCCAAACCCTAGGAAGCGTGGCTCTTTGTTAAAGCACCTTGGATCCCAGTTGACTTTGTATTTTAATGACATAGGGGCTCTGCTATGTTTTCACACCACCTCTTCAACAAATGTGAATGTGAAACGTTTTCCCTGCCCCACTCTCTGGACACCAGCTGCATGTCTGTCCTGTAGTTCAGTTCAAGTCTGACACTATCGAGAGTTTAGCATTAGATCCCACAAGTTACAGGGCTCAGTCCCACAAGGTGGCCCTCACTTCACATACCAATTGCAAGACCCTGGTCTCCTGTCCTGACAGACTGGCTATAAATCTAGGGTTCCCATGACCCCGTCTCAGGCTGCATGATGTGTTAGTGTGGCTCACTGGACTCAGGAAGGTGCTTCCCCCACCACTACAGTTTATGATAAAGGACACAGCTCAGGCAGCGGAGAGGAAGAGACATACAGGCCAAGGCATGGGGTGCACAGAGCTCTCACACCCCTTCACCATCCTGGACGCTCTCCCAACACCATCGTTCAGGGATTTTATGGAGGCTTCATTTCGGCAGGCATGATTGATTAAATCTTTGCCCATTGGTGATCAACTCAATCTCCAGTCCCCTTCCTTTCCCAGAAGCCAGGGGATTGGAGCCAAAAGTCCCAACCCTCCAATCCTGTGACCAGCCCCATGCTGCCTAGGGCCCCCAGCCACCAGTCATCTAATTAGCATACAAAGACCCCCTATCATTCCAGGGGTCTTAAAGACACCTGTGCAGGAACCAGGGACTAAGACCAAATACTGTAATAAAAGATGCACCTGTCACCCTACTCATTCAGGAAATAGCAAGGGTTTTAGGAGCTTGCCAGGAATCAGGACAAAGACCAAATATGCTTCTTATTCTATCACAGTGTCACAGGGCATAAACATGAATGCTTCCCCCAGGAAGCACAGGCACAGGGGTGCCCCTTGGTATCCATATGTGCTCCTGGCTGCAGGGGCACAGGCCCAGGCACAGAAGGCTCGGGGGTGAAGATCCAGCCCACCCTCAACCCGCCTCAGCCCGCACCTCTGGATGGAAGGCGTGGCAGGAGTCTGGTCGCCGGCGGACCTTCTGAGAGCGCATCCGGTCACATTTGACAGAGGCATTATGTGCAGAAGCCACCGTTAAGGTCAATATCTCAGGACCGGAGCCCATTCTGCAGCCTGGACCAAGGTCTGGAAGAACCTGCCCTGGTGCCATCAGTTGCCCTGCAAGCAGCTTCGAGGTCAGGAGACAGCACTGGGGCCCAGGGAAGGATTAGAGAACACACAACGAGCCCTGTGGAGGACGGACGGGCGGTGATGGGGGCTGGCCCCGCTGCTCAAAATCGGAGCCCCACAGGCACCTCCTACAGCCCCCGCCCCCACCCCACACATCCCGGAGGATTGCAGGATATATTTGACTTCTGTCGCCTCCTGAAGCACTGGCGGGAAGATGCTGCAGTCACAGGTGGGGTCTGTGACCAGGAGGAGGAGGTTACTGTTGGGAATCTGTTGCACCACAAATACCCTGCAGCAAAGAGAGGGAGTCGAGGACGGCTCGGTGGCCACCACGAGAAGGGCTTCTAGGGAGGGAGCTTCTGGAGACTTTAGTGTGGAGTTGGAGTAACAGGGAAACCCGGAACCATGAGGCAGGGTGGGTCAGCGGCAGCTATGGGAAGGGGCCTGGGCAACGGCTCAGTCTTGCTGGCCTTCCCCACAAGCTTTTGCTGCTGTATTCCCTTTCCTAGCAGATTGAAGAAGGCGAGGAAGTCCAAACAGGGCCGCTTTGGAGAGTGCAAAGAGTTGTTATTAATATATGCAGGGCCAGCAGGCGTAAATCAAGACCATCCCGAGCAAATGGGCGGGTGAGGCCACGCTAGCTTTGGGTGAGGGTGGTGGGGGCGGGCCTGGGCGAAGCGGCAGTGCTGGAGGTTGGCCACCAGGTGGCGCAGTGGTCCCGCCCTCGGCGAGGCCGCCTTGCGAGGGGTGGGGTGGAGCCCGCCCACCGCCTCCCAGCCGTCCCAGCTGCCGCCTACCGAGCGCCTCCCCAGGGTGGGTGGTCCACACACCCACACGTGCACACCACAGCCACGGCTACTCAACCTTCACAGCTCTATGTGAGGCCGCTGTGGTGCCCATTTTGTAGATGAGGAAACGGAGGCTAGAGGAGGCGAAGTCACTTGCCCACGGTCAGGAGTGGGGAAGAGCAGAGCCAGCTTTTTGTTTTGTTTTGTTTTGTTTTGTTTTTATTGAGATGGAGTCTCGCTCTGTCTCCCAGGCTGGGGTGCAGCGGCGCGATCTCAGCTCACTGCAACCTCCATCTCCCGGGTTCAAGCGATTCTCCTGCCTCAGCCTCCCGAGTAGCTGGGACTACGGGTGTGCGCCACCACGCCCGGCTAATTTTTGTATTTTTAGTAGAGACGGGGTTTCGCCAGGTTGGCCAGGATGGTCTCGATCTCCGATCTGCTGATCCGCCCGCCTCGGCCTCCCAGAGTGCTGGGATTACAGGCGTGAGCCACCGCGCCCGGCCCAGAGCCAGTTTTAAGCTCAGGTCTGTCTACTCTAAGCCCTGGCTTCACTCCGACCTCTGGCTCTGTCCTCTACTGAGCTTTTGCGCTAAATGCACCGGGGACCCTAGTCCCAACCCTCAGCCCTGCGTACACCCCGGTGAAACCCCGCGCAGCATGAGGCGCAGGGAGGGGCGATGGGACCCCCATGCCAGCGCCGCAGGTGCCGCGCTATTAAGTGGTTTGCCGCGGGCCTGGGGGTCTAGGGACCGTCTGGGGAGCCGCACACCTGGCTGAGGCGACCCTGGGGGAGGCCGCTGCGTTCCCACGGTGGGGGCCTTCTCGGGCTGGGGGGCGGGGGCAGTCGGAGAGACCCTTCGGTACGGCCTCCTTGCCTCCCCGGGGCTAGGGCCAGAGGGAGCTGGCGGCTTCCACCCAGCAGGAGGCCTGACGGGGCTGCGGCCCGGGTTCCCAGCGGCCGAGGACCGCGCACACTGTCTCTTCTCTTCTCACACCTCCCCTGCCTCCCGAGTTCTCCCCTGGCAGCTCAGCCGCAGGCGCTGGCACCGCCTGGGCCCGTCCGGTGCCTGCGCAGGGGCGAGGGAGACCCGCTGGAGGGCCGCCGCGCAGAGACGCCTGGGGCCCCCTGCGGCCTCGGTGGGGTGGGCTCGCCACACAGGGTCTGGCCTCGGGACGCCTCTCCCCACCCGCCTAAGGCAGCACATCCGACTGTCCGGGTCCCTAGCCGTCCTGCCCGCCTCAGACCTCCCGCCTCCTGCGGCCGGTGGGGGAAGACCCTGGGCTTGCGGCCTTGTACTTAGAGGCGGCCCCTCCTCCCGGGGTTCCAGGCCCCGCCTAGACTTGGCCGGGCAGCGGCGCCCCGGGCTCTCACTTCTGGCAGGCCCCGCACTCGATGATCCCATTGGCCTCACGGATGGCCGGCTGGTACACGAACACGGGGTACTCCGTGTCGCAGGGCTGCAGCTGGTCCTGCTTCTTCTGTTTGTGTGCTGCAGGCAGACGGAGAAAGGGCATCACACCAATGAAGGGGCCTTGGAGGGCCTGCCCTGGGGTGACCTCGATCAGCACTCCCAGCAACCGCAGTGTTCACCCTAGGCCATTTGCAGATGGCCCCTCCTCAGGCAATTCTCGGGGTGCATGTGGGAGGAGTGGATGGGGGTGAAGGGGGGAAAGGCACATGGAGTCTCTGAAGAGGGTGGCTTCACACGGGGAGGGCCCGTGGAGGGACCCCGGCCTCACTGTGAGCTGGGGGCAGTGCACCATCTCCAGGGCTCCTTCCAGCACTCAGATCCCAGGAGGGGATCTGAGGGGGCAGCAGAGGCTGTAGGGGCACCAAGGAGTGGCTTGGGGGGACTTAGGCCCACCACCCCTCCCTTCACCATGGACAGACCCAATGCAGCTCCTGGGCGATTCTGCCAGGCCCACACTCCACCCATCAAGCCTGAGTGCCTGGGGCGAGGGGCAGCCAGGCAGGTGGGCTCCAGGCCTGGGGCTGCTGAAGCCCAGAAGGCACAGCCGCTGGCACAGGGCTCCTTGGGGTATGTGTGATTTGCCCTAGCTCCCTGGGACAGGGATGGACAGAGGACTTAGCCAAAGGCTCTGGGGGACCCAGGTTCGTTACCGCCGGGAGCCCCCACAAGGTGGACATATGGCAGAGCAAGGCCGAGCACAGGCAGGGACTGTGTCCAGCGCTCCTGTTCTTCCCAAGGCTCTCTGCATGACCTTTCTGTTCTCAGGGCCTGGCTGCGGCAGGGAGAGGGCTGGCCTATAGGCAGGGGGCAGGTGTGAGCTACCTTCCCAGGCTCACGCAGAGTCCTACAGGACAGCATGGGTCTCCTCTCCAGCCAGAGGTCACCTGCTGGCATGCAGAAAGCCCTCACTGAGAGGAGCAAGCCTACGGCAGCCAGGGTTGTGGGTTTTGTCCCCAGGGCTGGGTACAAAAGCCTGCCTGACAATGGCAGGGTGGAATAGTGTCCCCAGGGTCACACAGTAGAAGGGGCCACAGCTCCTACACCCTGGCCTGGGACTCCAAGTCCAGTGCTCTTTCACTGAGGACACTGACACCTGGGTGGGACAGGCCAGGCCTGCCAGGCCTGCCAGGCCAGGGGGAGAAGCCCCAGGGGACAGCTGCCCCAGAGAAGAGAAATTCTGAGCAGGCAGATTGAGGGGAATCATCCTCAGCTTTTGCAAGATGCAGCTGCTGACAGAGAGAGACAGAGGGGGCAGTGTCCCCCTCCAGGGTGGAGCCCTGTGTTCCTGTGCAGGGGGGCAAGGACCCGCTTCTAAGTGACACAGCATTCCTGGTTCCTTCACTGACACCTAGGGACTGCGAACGCCGGAGCAGCCCCTCTGATCAGGGTGTGAGTCCCGAAGGACTCTGGAGACACAGCTGGAAATGCTCTGAGCCCAGGGGCAGTGGATGCCTGAGGCCAAGGTCAGCAGGAGGGAAGGAAGAGCAAGCCAGAGAGGGACCACAGCGGAGATGAAGAGATGGGACAAGCTGGGGACAGCCCAGGTGGTGGGAGGTTCTGGAACCCCATGGCAAAGTTTCTATGAACACAGAGGAGCTGAGCAGAGCCCGCTGAGGCAAGATGGCCTCCTGTGGTCATGGAGCACCCAGGTGCCTGGAGAATAAATGCTTTGAAAGACCAGGCTCATCGCCACCCTGCGCGTGTGGCCAGAGCCACCAGTCTTTTTTTTGGGGCGTCTCATGGTCACTGCCTCTGGGGACTGTGTCCTCAGACACAGGGTCCGGGAGGGGAATCCTCCTGAGAGCTTCCTGGGGCCCCTGAAACCAGGAGTCCCGCTGAGGGCTGGTGACACCTGGGCTGGGGGTGCCACTCTTTGCTTCTCCAAGGGGTGGGCTGGCGGCTGCTCACTCATGCTGGCTCATGGCTGCCCGGCCCTACCACCCTTCCTCTTGGAATCTTACATGTTCTTACCCAATGGGAGGCTGGAGTTTCTAATTTTTCCTGGGGCCTGACTGTCCTCATGTGGGATGAGATCTGGGCTAGACTCCCCAGTCCCCCAACCCCTAGGAAAGGTGCTTTAAACCGGGAGAGCTCAGCCCTGCTTGGGGTCCATTCCTGGGACGGGTCATGGAGGTCAGGTTCTTTGTGGCTCCTGCTGCATCCCCAACCCTCCACCAGCAGAGGTCGCCTCCGAGGGGCTACTTACAGTGATGGAAGACACTTTTGGCTAGCCGGGACATGAGCCCAGCACAGAGTGGACACGGCACAAGAGATGCATGGTGGCACATGAGGGCAGGATGTCATGGGGTGGTGATGATGGCACATGGAGTGGCAGTGTCCCAAGATGATGTCACACACAGAGCCAGGAGTGAGGGAGGTGATGAGAGAAGGCCACGCAGGATAAGATGTGAACAACAATGACTCAGGGTCGCCTGTCCCCACCAACACCCACCCCACAGGGAGAGATCAAAATGCTACTGCTCTTCAGCACATGGCCCTGCAGCTCCGTGCACTCACCCTCGGCCCCTCTGTCATACCAGGAGCCCCAGACGCTCCACTCCAGCAGGAACCTGTCAGACACAGGACTGAATCTTGGAGATCTTGGAGTCCTCTTGGATCCCCAAGGGGCTGGAGTATCCCTGATGGCCCCCAGCCCATTCCTTCTCCTCCAAGACACCCTCTTCCCTGCCTGAGGGCTCTGGGGTGAGCAGTGAGTTCCCTCCCAGGGGCAGCGTGCAGGGAGGAGGTGATGTCCAGGGACCGTGCCCTCCTTCCCCGGGGTCTGGGAGCAAGTGGGTTGTCCTGGAGACCTTGCAGCCCCTGCTCAAGGACACCCTCCTAAGCCACCCTCGCATACAGCCCTCCACCAGTCCCATGTCCACCCCACTCACAGCATTAGCTCCTGCAGCAGCCACCTGGTCGCCGTCAAGAAGGCAGAAATTGGCTGGGAAGGACAGAGTGCACAGCGCTCACACCTAGGTCCAAGGGTAAGGGTGTCCCCCACCCCAGCACCACCCTCAGAGAGACCAGAGGGCTGCCCCGCCACTGGGAGGGGGTGCGGCAGAGCACAGACCCACAGCCCAGCACCCCCCATCCCCCTACCTCCCATCTGCCCTGCAGAGCTGAGCTAGCAGGGAAATGCCTACTGCACGTCAGATATCTCGGGTGGGGTTGGACATGCCCCTCAGGAGATGAGTCAAACCCTCATTCTGGTGCTGCACTGCTGAGGATCCCTGGTGGTCTAGCAGCAGCATCAGGGGCTGAGGCTGGGGCAGGCTGCTCTCTCTGTCTCCACCAGGGGCCCTGTTAAGTCACAGCTCCCAGAGCAGTCTCTTTGAAGCCCCAAAGTGAGACCCACAGGCCTGCCTGGGAGTGGGACAGAGCAGTGGCTCTGAGCAGAAGGTGGAGACGGTCAAGGTGGGGCCCTGGAGCTAGACGCCCAAGGTAAGTAAGGACAAGGACCAGTGACCTCATTCCAGGACAGGGCAGAGGACTGGCTGGCTGGTAGAGGGAAGGGCTGGGTGATACTCACGCTGACCAGGGGCTGCGCTGCACTGTTGTGGTGACTTGAGGGTTTGCACATGGCCTGGTAGTCATACATGGTCACTCTGAAAATCAGACGCAGGCTGTGATGAGTTCAACGCCACCCCCCCACCCTGCCCCTGCCTCAGGAGGGTTTACTAGCAGAGCGTCCATTCACTGCAATTCCTGAGGGCGCCTGAGCTAGGACAGCAGATCCGAAGACAGCTCATGCTGAAAATTACATTTCTGTGCTTGGAATGGTTTAAAGGCAATGAAGAGCAAATGGCTTGCCCTTGGAGCTGGACGGTTTTCCCTCAAGGGTCTGAGCTGCGTGGTCCCTCCCAGGGGTGCCCACATGACCTAATGCCCTCCCCACATCACACAGATGCCCTGGCTCCATAAAGGTTGCTTTTGGAGCTCTTTGGGGGCACTCACTGTGCATTTTGGACATCAGGATCCCAAGATCCGCCTGGACCACTTAGGGTCAGCTGTTGGCTTACTGAGTCTATTTGGACTGGGGAGGAGTGTGCCCCACTTACTGGCTGAACACCCCCATGCTGAGCAGCTGGGTCATGACAGCACCATCCACCTCCCCAAGAAATCTTCCCATCTGTGAGAGAGGGAGAGCAGAGAGAGAGAGAGAGGGAAAGAGGCGGAGCAGGATGAAGCCTTCTGAGCCCAGCACTACTATCAGTTCTGGTCGAGGCTTTTGGGGCCAGCTGAGCTTTCCCTCTAGATGCCTCTCAGCCTAATCCAGCTGAACCTTCCACCCACGCCCTCTCCAGTCCTGGCTCCTTACCCTCCAGCCTGGTGCTTTCTAAACTGGAGGCAGTTATCTGCTAGCTGGCTATGAGACCAACCTAGAGGTTACAATATGATTTTTAAAGAATGGCATAGAATTCCTTGGAACAATTCTGTGTGAATCACTTGCAGCAAGGTTAAAGAATGTTTTGTGAAATTGGATTTGTTGTATATGCTGTGTGTGTGTGTGTGTGTGTGTGTGTGTGTGTGTGTGTGTGTGTTGGGTCAGATATAAAACACGTTTCTGCAGGTCAAGGTCAAAAGCAGCAGTGCCTGTCTCATGCACACCAGTATCCGCATCCTCCCAGTGTGAGAGCACTGCTGTCGCTTTTGATGTTCCTCCGTCACCTCTCACAATCAGTGTGCCCTGTGGATGGGTCATTTGTCCCCTCCACGACAACAGCCTAACCGGATCACTAGCCCTCTCTCCTTCGCCCACCTGCCCTCCTAGGTGACCTCTCCCCTCGTCCCTGTGGCACTGCCAGAGTCATATTCCTCAAACGCATCATGGATGGGTCACTCTTGTCTTCATTCAAAAAAAATAAGACAGGACCCTCCCTCCTGTCCCCGGCTCCCCTTTCATTGCACATCAGCCAGTGTTTTGTGGCTCCTGTGCCCTGTGCCAGGCAGTGGCCCCTAGCTGGCTGAGGAAGGCTTCGGGTCCTCTGCTCTGCCACCTCTCATGGCCTCTGTACTTGCCCTAGCCTCTTGACTCTGCTGTTTCTCAGCGTGGCAGGGTGGCAGAGCTTGGGCTTGGTGTTGAATTTTGACTTGAATGTAGGCTTTCTTAAAGACTGGGGATAACGTGTGCCCTTAGAGATGTGTCTCCCAGTAAATACTTGAAAACTGGCAGCCATCGTTATGAGGAGAGGTCTGGGCTCTAGCTTGGCTGTTCTCCCTGCCCTGATTACCTTTCTCTGTCCTCATGCCAAGGAACTTTTATCCTCACCATTCCTGGAAAGTCTTTCGATTCTAACTTTTCCAGCCAGAATGAGGCCCTCCTCTGCACGCTGACAGCCTGTGGCCTGCACGCCATGCAGTCGTCGTCTCACTCTGCCTGATAAGATACTTGGTTGAAAACTATATGAGGACAGGACCGTGTCTTACTATCTCTGAATTCCCCAAAGTGTCTTGGTACCTGGACATACTCAGTTAGTGTGGAATTTTGGCAGGCAAGGGAGGTGGGTGATGTGCTGATGGCCATGTCAGGTTCTTCATGGAGAGCTTTCTAGCTGCCTGGGCCCAAAATGAATGACATGTATGAAAACTACAGGAGCTTGGGCACATGGACATGGCCAACCTCAAGGAAAACCAGGCATTGTCTGGGTGTCCACCTGGGGCCTGCCCTGGCAGCCAAGTAGATGCCAGCAAGCCTTCTGAAGGGAACAGAGATTTATTCCAGACAAAGGCTAGTTAGAACGCATGACTCCTGACACCCAATGAACAATCAGAGAAGTTCTCTTCCAAATAAGAGGTGATGGTCCCGTTTCAGGACAATAACCCCAGGACCATGCCCATGGTTCATAATGTTGTGACTTATAATCAGCCAATATGGAGCCACAGGTCTCCAAATGCGCCCACACCAGGAATCTGGGATGAAGTCAGGAAGTATCACTTTCCAAATTGGAATTAAGTAACAAAATATAGTCCTTACATCCTACAGTATTTCCTGTATAAGTGGAAATAGCTGACTTATAAAATTAAAACATGAGGATGCAACCCACTAAAAATGCATGGCAAACTGAAATCTAAAAATGGACAGGTCAACTACAAAAGTAAATAGGAGGGAAACAGATGCAGACAAAGGTACTCAGACTTGTCTGTCTACACTCTGCTAGTTCCTCACCTGGAATGCCCTGACCACCAAAAACTATTTCATTACACCTTTTATTCACAAGGCACTCACCAGGTTAGTCTGATGCAAAAATGAATGAAATGGACACCAATCAAGAGCTTCAGACTAGTTTGCATGGACAGACAGGAACACATGAACGCTCAGACAAGACCAGCTGATAACCAGCACCTCTGACAGTGGTGAAAAGGAATGGGAGCTCAAACTCCTGGCAGGCTGCATGGAAGAAGGCAGTGGACACAGCAGGGGGACAGCAGGGAGGGTCAAGGGCATTCCAGGGACAGAACAGCACATGGGAATGTAAAAGGCATTGAAGTCCTGACTGTTCTTCAAGGTGCAGCCCTAAAGCTCTCCCTGGTGCCTCCGGCTAGAGTGATCCCTCTCAGCTGGGGCTCGCTTTTTGCTATTTTAGTTACTGTGTGTGTGTTTGTTTCCTCCATCACTCTGTCACCTGACAGCAAGATTCTAGAGGACAGACATTCATCTCTGTCCCACAGCACCACACCATGTCCCGTTCACAGTTATTATTCCATGCATATATGCTGAAGGAATGTGTGAGGAAATGAATGACCTGAGTCTTCTGCTCCCTGAGAAAGTGCAGCAGCGTGGAGATAAGGCTTCTGACAAGGCTGGTTTTAATTCCTACAAGCCTGTCCCATTCTGCCTCCTAATTCCAGGCGTATTCACCAACTATCCTGTTGTTTAGACACTTGATTCTGAGAAGAGAGGTCCCTGAGAGCAAGGATGTGTATCCTGAACACTAGAAAAATGTATCCCCCTTCGTAAATAACTAACTTGATTTTTCTAGGATTTGTCACTCTGGCAGAAAATATCCATTCTCTCCGTCTTCTTTGGTTAGGCAGCCTGACTTTAATTATGGCAGCCATGTGCTCAGGGAAAAGACTACATTTCCCAGTAGGCCCTGCGGCAAGGAGTGGCCAATGGAATGCGAGCAGAGCCGTGGGGCGGGACTTCCGGCAAGCGGGCCCAAGACTTGCCTGCTGCCCGCTTTGCCCTTGTGCTCTGGACAGGAGCCCCTCCAGCTCTGCTGAGACCGTGCGGATGGGGCCAGGCCGGGCCCAGGCTGCCTCCATCCATTCCTTTATGAGAGAATACACCTTTAGTTGTTTAAGCCACTGTAGTGGAGACTCTTCTGGCAGCAGAACACAATTCCTGGCTGATAGTTTGTTTTGAACTTTGTCACGGCAAATCCCTGGCTCAAATCGAGTCCCTGAACCTGCAACGCCAAGGTCCAAACGTCGACGTGGGATGCCTTGTGGATTTAGGAGCCCCAGACCGCCCGTGGAGTGGCAGCGAAAGCACAGCACGATGCAGGGGCCTGACGGCCCGGGTCCCCTTTTCACGGGGACAATTCACAAATAAGCAGTGGCCCATGGGCCGCCTGAACTCGGGCTGGGTCAGAAGGGTCGAGAACCCCCTGCCCGGCCTTCGAGTCTGCAGGGAGGCTGTGGGTGCGCAGGTCCTGTGAGCACCACCCGGGAGCCTGCAGGGGAAGCAGATGGGGAGCAAGTGACGAGAGGTTGGGCAGTCCCTCACCGGCCTGGAGTAATTTGCAAGGCTGTGGGAGGCTGTGCCCAGAGAAAAGGGGTGATCTTGAGTCTCGTGACAGATAGAGTAAATGTCCCATGGCCTCCTTACCTAGGGGCAGCCCTGGTTTCTCCTCTGAAGTTGGGAGCTCATCCTCCTAAGGGGTGTGGACACTCAAGTCCCTGTGCCTGGCTCGTGTGGGGATCAGTTTCCTTTCCTCTGCTCCTGGCTTGTGCAGCCTCGCCTGCTCCTCTGTCCCCCAGGCTGCAGTCTCCTAAGGGGTGCCTGGGAGGGATGTGGAGGAGGGGCTGGGGGTGGGGCAGCACTGCACTCCTGCGAAAGCCGCCTGAAGAGCCTGCCTCTGACCACCACAGGATTAATTTTATTCCGGGTCGACCCGGTGGAGCAGGGTCATTTGGGATGCCAGGAAGGCAGAGGGAGCACTGCTGCCAGGGCATGGGGTGCCCCAGAAGATGGCAGAGGCAGGCTGCCCAGAGTGTAGAGGACGGGAACATGTGCTAGGCTGGGAGCCTGACTTTGAAGATGAAGAGCCTGGGCTGGGCGAGTCGCAGGGGTCAGGGAAGGTGAGAGGGATTCAGAGAAACAGGAGCCAAGGCCCAGACCTGACACCTGAGGACAGAAGGGGGCACCCTGCTCTGAGTGCCTGCCTGGTCCCTGCTTACTGGGCTGGGATGCGGAGGGAGCAGGTTGCTGTGCTCTGAGAGATCCAGGCCCCTCAGGGGAAGGTGCTGGGATGGTGCCTCCGATTTTCTAGGCTGCAGTTGTGCCCCTTGGAGGTTCATTTTGAAGCTCCCATGGGTGGGTGCTGCCCAGAAGCAAATGACAGGAATCGGAGTCCTCAGATTCAGGGTGACAGATCCACTATAAATATTACAAAGCTCCACAGAGCTGCTGTCACTGTCTGTCCCCAGCTGTCTGCTTCTCTTTCTAGGCCCCATGTTGAGGGTTGCAATCTTGGCATCCCTAGCTCTTTATTATAAGAATGAGCCCTGGCTGGGTGTGGTGGCTCACGCCTGTAATCCAAGCACTTTGGAGGCCAAGGCGGGTAGATCACCTGAGGTCGGGAGTTCAAGACCAGCCTGACCAACATGGTGAAACCCCGTCTTTTTTAAAAAATAAAAATAAATAAATAAAATTAAATTTTACAAAAAAGAAAAAAAAAAAAAAAAAAAGAATGAGCCCTGCCCTGGAAGAGAGGCCAAATGTCTAATCAGCAGGCTTGGAGCACCACCAGCGCGAGGAGAGCCAAGCGGCTGCTCCCTCAGGCTGGCTGCAGATGGGGCCCTTGCGGTTTCCCCGCTCACTGACTACAGGGAGGAGGGCCTTGGGTGCGGGAGGGCGTGGAAGGACTTTGGGAAGAATCTTTGAGTCTGCAGCTCAACAGGCCCCTCTCTCCAGGCCCTTGGGTGAACCCTGGCAGGGACAAAGAGTCGCTGGAAACTTTTGGCACATTGCTTAGTCAGGAAAGTGATAGCAGCTGGCTCAAGTGTATCCAGACCCTCCGCAGCCAGGAGGCCTGGGCAGGGTTCAGAACCCATCATGCACTCAGTCACCTAGAGGGCTCCCTCAAGCAGATTGCCAGCCCCAGAGTGTCTGAGTCCCCCACTATGCACTCAGTCACCTGGAGGTCTCCCTCAAGCAGACTGCCAGCCCCAGAGTGTCTGAGTCCCTAGGTCTGGGATGGGACCCTGGCAAATCTGCATCCCTAACCAGCTCCCAGATGCTGCGGCTTCTGCCCTTCAGCCACACTGAAGGCCTACAGATAAGCAGGGAGGCGCAGCGAGGAATGAATGAGTTGGGGAGCCAGCCCTGTGGCCTTCGATGGCACTTGTGTGTTTGGGAGGGAGGGGCAGGTTTGGGTCGGCCATTGGGAGTTGGTGGTGGGCAGACTCTGAAGAGGTTCACAACGATCCCGGCCTCCTGGGAGTCCTGCCCTTGTGTAAGCCCCTCCTCTTGAGTGTAGATTGGACACAGTAACTTGTTTCTAGGAAGCAGAATATGGTAAAAGTGGTGGGGTGTCACTTCTGAAATCAGATTTCAAAAGACTGTGACTTCCACCTTGCCTTGGTCAGTCTGATGATGGAAGCTGCCTGCCGTGGGAGAGGAGGCTTCAGCCTCACAGCCCTGGAGGATCTGAATGCTGCCAACGACCATGTGAGTGTGGCCGGATGCAGATCCTTCTCCATCAGGCCTGGAAATGACAGCAGCCCTGGGGACCTGGATGCTATTGCCTTGTGCAAGACCCTGAGCCAGCTGTACCCAGATCCTTACCCACAGAAACAGCCAGATTTTAAGTCTTGTGGTCGTAAGCCACTACTTTTGTGATAATTTGTTATGCAGCAATAGATAACTGCTACAGAGTTGTCAAATGAATGAGTTTTTAAAAAGCAGCAAAACAGATGGACGGACAGAGGGTTGGACAGCTGAACAAGTGGCATTAGCCCCAGACCCTCCGCCACCCTGTCTTCCACTTGCTTTCTAGTCCAGCGCCTGCTACTTCCAGGCCTAGAACTTTCAGGCCAGTTCGGTTTTCCACATAGTTATCGAGTGTCTGCTGTGTGCCAGGTACCACGCCAGGTGGGGTCTCCAGCCTGGTGCCTTGCCATAACCCAACACAGCTCAGGCTGCAGAGTCAGAGCTGTCCCGGGTGAGGAAAGAGGAAGTGAGCCCTGTCACAGTGTCATGACCCCCAGGGCCTTGACACTAGCCCAGAGCTTAACTCAGGGTTGGAATTCCTGGGCCTTGCCTTTCAGGTCCTAGAGGCATTGGACCTAATTCCATGAGACTCAGCTGAGTACAGCAAGTGAATGAACTCCACCTTGAGTGGTGACAGAGTGACCTGCGTGGGGCTCAGGGCCAGGAATGTCACACAGGGGGCCGGGACTTGCAGCCTCCACACCCACCAGAGAAGGCCAATCTAGCTGGGGTCAAGAACCGTGCCCTGCAAATGCTCAGGTCCCATCAAGACCAGTGTTCTCCCCACTCAGTTTCCCTTCCAAGAGGTCTTTTCTAGAATCTTCTTCCCCCTCTTTTTTGCTGCTCTTCACTTGGCTTTCTGGGTTTGAAGTCTGGCTTTTCTGTGGCTGTGAGTTTTTGGGTTAATGCCCTAACCTTGCAGGGCCTCATTTCCCCTCCTGTGTGAAGTGAGACTTAATAAGGTCCCAGCAGATGATGTGGGGGGCCCTCCTTACTTCTATGGCCTTGCTGTTCGGGGAGCAAGGGTGAGCCAAATGTGGTGGGAGCAGGGGCTCTGGCAGGAGCTTCTAGAAGTTCAGTTTGTTGCTGCCCAGCTTCTTTTCACAGAGGATTTGGAACGGCACATAAAACCACGTACAGGGTAAAAACGTAATAGGAAATGGGGGTGAATGAGTTAAGTAAACAAATACGTTACCTAATACAGATCTCTGAGTAATTGCTACCACATCTTATCCAAAGTTGTTCTCAGTGATTTTCTTACAATCTGAAGACGTGAGCAAATGTGGTCTGGACAGAATAGGACCAAAGCAGCCCAGTGGGTTATGAGAGGCCCCTCCAGGGTTCCTATCTTGAGATGCCACGTGCCTGCCAGCTTCTCTCAAGGCTGGCGTGGTTCCCCTCCAGGGCCAGCTCCCTGCACGGTTGTCCGGCTGCCTCTGGAGCAGGGGCTGGCAACTGCAGCCCGCGGGCCAAGCCTGGCTCATTCTTGATTCATGTGGGATCTTGATCTAAGACTGGCTTTTCCATTTTCAAGCGGTTGGGGAAAAAATGTCAAAATACTGGTAACATCTCATGACACATGAAATTTATATGAAATTCACATGTCAGTATTCAAAGGTTTTACTGGAGCAGCGCCACGTGCGTTTGCTCACAGATCACCCATGACGGCTTTCTTGCTGCCATAGCAGGGCTGAGTCTCGTGAAGCTCAAAACCAAAATGTGCATCTGCCCCTTTAGGAAATGCTCACCTACCCCTGCATTAGAGCTCGCCCTCAGGCCTGGCCATCCTCTCCCTCTGTTCTGCCAACTCCTATCCCAGTGTCCAGGATCCAAGCTCTCTGTGGGATGCCCAAGCCCATGCTCTGGCCCTTGAAAGCCAACACCTCGGGAGGCCTGGGGAAGTGATCAGTCTCAGTTACCCAGGGCGGGAGGGATTGGAGCCCAAAAGAGGGGGCACCAGGTAATCCCAGAGCCTCACACCAATCACGGTTCAACTCCTGTCGTCACCGGTTTCTCCCAGAACAACTGAAAACTACAAAGGCCTGGTGCTCTGTCTGGAGAGGAGTGAAATGGCCAAAAGAGGGCATGAAAGAGAGGAGGGGGAAACCAGAGGCAGGCACCCAGCTGGCCACGATGAACAATGAGCTGAGTCCTGCAGAGCCTCATCCTGACTCCTACCAAGAGGAAGTTGAATGACACTGTCTTTGGGTTCTCTATTCCTGTGGCTGAAAACTGCTGCACGTTAAGTGGGTCGTTTAAACACTACCCCAAGGAGTTAGATTTCCTGATCCACTGGTGTCCCTTTGTCCTCACTTGCCCTCTTTCCCAAGTCTCCTTCCGACACCGGGCTCTGGTTCCCTGTTCTGACAACTGCTTTGGATCTTAAGCCACACCCGCTCAAGCCAGACCACAGCCCTGCGATGCGTGGAGGCAGCCTTGGCCACGACCTCTGCATCAGCCTCCTCATCCCAGGCACTTAGAGCCTTCAGCTGGGGTTGGCTTGGACACTGTGTAGTCCAGCCCCCAGCGAGGCACAGCTAATGAAAGTTGCTTGCCCGCATCACATGTCTAACTAGTGGCAAAGCTCACATAGAACTAAATACTATGCCCCTTCCCCCGAGGCTCAGGTGGGAGGCTGTTCTGATGCTTCTGCCATGCTTGAAGGAAATACATCTGGTGAATATATCTAGATTTGCTTGAGATTTGAATGGGCTTCTTTCTCAGTTTGATTCCTGGCTAAAGAAATAATCCATTTTGAGGTCCCTTTTGGAGCCCAGCAAGTATAAAATTATTATTATACTTTCTCTTTTGCCTTTCTGAGCACATGCTGCATTCAGAGAGATGCCCACACCCGGCAGGGGCGGTGGGAGTCGGGGAAGATTAGAATGTGCAAACCAGGCATTCAGGTGCGAATGCTTTGTGTCTGTCCCCCATTTCTCCCTGGCACACCGAAGGCCAGGCGTGATGGGCGAGAATATACTTTTCTGTAAGGTTCAGACAGGACAAGAACATGAGTGGGGAAGCCACGCCTTCTGGGCCCCACTATGGTAGAAAAGCAGGAGTGGGTGGGGGGTGACCTGATGAGTGGGTGTGCTTGGACCCCTGGGAGGAGGCCCGGCGTGAGGCTGGGCCAGTATGGCCAGGCAGGGCCCCGAGATGGGGTTACTGAGTGGCTCCTACCAGCCATGCGAGGAGGCCAGGCTAGTGTCAGATAAAACAAAGAAGTAATATTTTCTCTGACCTCTGAGTTGAAAAGTGCTCCAAATTCTGCCATCTTGCTATGTTGACTTTGGCTTCCAGAACACCTTTTCTTCAGCCTGTTAGCTGCACTGGCCTCGCGCAGGGCTCCCTCCTGGGGCCGTGGCTGGCGTGGCTGCGGGATGTCTCCAGCCCTCCCGCCGCCCTCTCCCCCCATTCTACATCCCCAGTGACTTACCTCTTGGGACCTCTCGGAGATCAGAATGAACCCGTTGTTGTCGACCACGAAGCAGTCCAGATCCTGGGAGGAGACCCAAAAGGGAGGTTACGGCCAGGGCCCTCACCCAGCCCGGCTCCTCCGCCCGTCCCTACAGCTCTGGAAGGCAGCGTGGGAACCTTCGCTGCAGGGAAGGAGGGCATTTGGGAGAAGGAAGCTGGCTCTCCAGGAGGACCGGATGGAGGGCCATGGCTCCCCTCCTCCACCCTCCTCACACGGGCAGAACTTACACTGTCCTCGCAGCTCTGTGTGCACGGCATATCCCCAGTGCTGCACTGGAAGGAAGAAGAGAGACTGAATGTGACACCTGCATCCGTGTAGTGGAGATGGCGCACGTGAGTGGGAACACCGTGTGTGGTACATTTGCAGTGTGTGCACTGGGTGTGCATCTGCATGCAGAAGGCACGTGTGTGGGTGTGGGATGTGTGTGTCATATGTGGACAGCACGTGTATAAGGTGTGTGCATGTGTGTGTCCATGTGTGGGTGTGTATCTGTATGTGGAGGACACACGAGTGTGGTGTGTGTGGTATGCGTGTGTTATGTGACCTGTGGGTGCTGAATGCTGCAGGCCCTAGCTGGTGGAGTGGCCCAGGTAGCCCCAGGCCTCATGGCTGGTGTGGGGAGGTGGCTTGTGGGCTCTGCGGGGCTTCTGCGCTGGCCGTCTGGTGAGGTAGTGGGTCCCCCCAGGCCCCTGCCCTCCGTCCCTCCTGCTTTCCTCTTGGGCTCCCTGCACTTGCCCAAAGCCAGGCCACAGCAGCAAGTGAAAGGAGCCGAGGGGCCCGGCGTTGTGGGAGATTGGGGCTGGAGGAGCTTGTGGGAGATGGTGGGGGCAGCTCAGAAGCCAGAGGGACCTGGGGGCTCTGGGGAAGCAGAGGGGAAGGAGCCAGTAGAACGGGACGGGGCAGGCAGAGCTGGGAGTTCTCAGCCAGAAGCCACTGTTTTCTCTGGTGTCTCTTGCCAGCCATCAGGGCCCGGATCCCGGACCCTGGACCCTGGACCCTGGATGGTGGAGCGGGCAGCTGTCCCTCTGCAGTGGGAGGCGTGCCAGTGGCTTTGGGGTGGTGAGAGGGGTCGATGCTGGGTCTTGCCCCTTGCCACTGGGCCTGGAGGGGCTGTAGACCAGGGCTGAGGCTTGGCCTGCAGGCTGGGGCGCTGAGGGGCTGAGAACAGGAGGGGCCGGGAGGGCATCCAGAGGGCCTCAAGGCAGGTGGAGCATCCTGTGGGGTGCGGGGAGTTCTCACACCCGGAAAGCATGGGGAGTCCCCAGCCCAGACCTGGCCCAACATCACACCTACCTGCCGCGTTGCCACCCAGAATTTGCGCTGGAGGAATTCCAGCTTCATTTGGACGCCCACCGCTACAGGGCAGGAAGAGGGAGGGCAAGGCCAGGGAAGAGACGGGGAGAGAAAAAAATAGATTCGAGTTAAAGAGAGGAGGTGCTTCAGCAGGAACTGAGGAGAGAGACAGCAGCGGATGGGAGGACTGAGTCAGAGGGCAGAGTGCAAATTGAGATTTCTGGGGAGTGGGAGGGGGGAGGAAGAAGAGAGACAGCAGCCTCTCTTGTCCCCACTCGAAGAACAGCACCAGAAAGTGCTCAGCAGCGACAAGACTCCCATTCCAGAGAACAATGAGGGCAGATTCATCCCCAATCTCTGGGAACTCAAGGACCACTTAGTCTCCCCTTTCCCAGAGATGGGAATACAGAGGCCAGAGAGACCCACCCATTTGACCAAATCATGTGACCAAGAGTGGTGCCCTGAGGCTGGAATTCAGGGCCATTGCACTAGCAACTCACGGACTCCTTGGATCTCAACCTGGTGTAACCACCTCTTTTACACCCACTGCCTGCTCAGGATCTTCCCCACTTCGTAAGGAGGCTCTTTTCCTGCTCAAAGTCAGGATCGGATTTGCCCAGGGCTGCAGGCGGGTTCCAGGAAACCGCAGGCACCACCGCCTAGCAAATAGTTCTCTTTTGATGCCTCTGCTTACAAGGGCCACGCTGCCTTTCTGCTTCCCGAAAGGCTTGGAGAACCCAAGCGGGTGCTCACATACCAAGAGAAATCTGGGACAAAGGCTCCAGGAAAACTTGGGGCCAATGAATAGAAAGAAAAGGTGGGTTATACTGAAAAGAAGAATTTCAAAACTAGGCCAGCTTCCTAGTGTCTGCTATAATAATACGAAAACTGCGCTGGGTGCTTAGAACGCGCCCGGCACCTCACATGCATGAGTGTACTGAATCCCACAGCAGGCCAGTCTTATTATTCTGACTTTCCAAGCTGAAGACGTGGAGGCTTTTCAGAGTCACACGGCTTGCCCAAGTCACCAGCTTGTTAATAACAGAAGCAGGACTGCAACCTGGGCCTGTCTATCTCCACACCTGCCTCCTCTCTGCACCTGCCTGCTCTCTTTACCTCTCTTCTCTCTCTCTGGACCTGGACTGAGTCCTGATGGTTGGGAAAGAGCAGTGGGCATGGGCAAGCCACTCTCTACTCAGGCTTCGGTTTCCTCATCTGTGAAATGTGAACGGATGTGGGTTCTTAACCATTGTCTCCGTCACAATTATTCTCATCTCTCGAGTACCCAGTTGGCGGGAGTTCCAGTATAGCACAGAGTTACAGCACTGTGTTTTCATTTTATCAATCTGGAATGATCTTAGAGAAATTTGATGGGGGGAAAAAAATAACAGCAGGGAAGGGTCAAGGGCCAGAGGTCCAGCCCTGCATTTTCCAGGGTTGTGATCTTTGAATTTTGTCTCCTCAGCTGCAAGATGAGTCACGGTTTGACTTCCCTAGGAGGGCAGAAGGAGCCTAAGATTGTTGAGGCTCCAGTGAGATAATGTGAGACGCTGTTACTCTAGACAAGAGCCTTGGTTTCTAAACTCCAGCATGCACCAGAATCGCCTGGAAAGTTGGTTAGAACCCACCCCCAGAGTTTCTCCTTCAGGGAGTCCGGGGTGAGGCCTGAGAATTTCTGAAGTGTTCCCAGGGGTTGCCTATGCTGCTAGTCCAGGCACCAAATTCAGGAAACGCCTGTCCCAAAGCTTCGCCGATTGCACCTTCTAAGATGACGAAGATGACCTACATCTGTGCTGTCCTAAACAGTAGCCAATAGCCACACATGGCTAACAAGAACTTGGAATGTGACTAGCAAGCCTGAGGACCTGAATTTAAAAAAAAAATAATTTTAATTAACTTAAATAGCCATGTATGATTGCTGGCCACCATATTAGACAGTGTTGTTCTAGAGCTAATCCGAGTTTGCAGATGAAGAAACTAAGGCCCTGAGAGGCCCCTCCCGGCCTGGGAGTCTCGCGGCAACCCTGGGGTGGTACTCTGGCTGGCTGGCCTTCCTGAACAGGTCCTACAATATAGGAACATTTGAGTTCTTTGGGGGCATCTTTGTTGCTTCGCGGTCCAGGTAACTGAAAGGAGTGGGCTGGAAGGGGACAGGTGACCCATCTGTTGGCTCATGACAAAGATGAGAACCCCCAACACAGCACACAGCTGCAGGTGAGGCGTGCTCGGGGGCCCAGCGCGGGCCACGCTCCTCTTCCTGCTCATCTGCCCCTCTTAGGCTACAGGGACCCGTCAGTCTCCTCTCCTTTTTCCTTATAAGACCACCCTACATATTCATTTTAGACAGATTTCTTTCACCTGTTGGAAAAGGCTGACTCAAAGAGGATCATCAGAGGTGAAACAGGCTAGTGCTCAGAATGACCAACTCTTCGGGATTTAAGAAGGCTTCCTTCATCCTGTCCTTCGCCTCCAGGGTCAAAGAGGTCTCTCATTATTCCTAGAATGAGACTCTGCCTTTCCATTTGATGGCTCAGTGTCAAGTTGCATAGCATCATGAGATTTTTGAGCTGGAATAAATTCCATGATTCTAACATGGGGCATCTGGAGAGGGTGGGGGTGTAAGTTTTGAGGCTCCTTGGGCAGAAATGGGGGGAGCAGGACACAGAGCAGATTCTCCCTCACTAGGTTCCATCCCAGGCTCCTCCAAGGCAAGCTGTGTGTCTTTTGCCCCTGGGTGTCCTTTGCAGAACGAAGGGCATTCCCACTACCTATTGGCATGTCATCTCCACTTGGGCACTTTGAACTCGACATGTTCTCCCCCAAACCTGACCCTCCTCAAGCCTTTTCCATTTCAGGACGCATATTCTAGTGGATTGCTATTGTTTTCCCTCCTCCCATCCAAGATCTGCACACCTTAGTTCCAAAACTTCATAAATTTGTCCGTTTCCCTCCATCTCCACGGTTACCACCGTTGGCCAAGCCAACACTGCTGTCACTTAGATTAATGCAAGCTCCCCTGAGCTGCCCCCTTGCCTTCCAGGCTGCCTCTCTATGATCTGTTCTCCACATAGCCACAAGAGTGGTCTTTCTGAAGATCAAATCACACCACTTCCTGGCTTAAAACCCTCCAATGTCTTCTCATTGATCTGTTTTGTTTGTTTTGTTTTTTGAGATGTAGTCTTGATCTGTCACCCAGGCTGGAGTGCAGTGGCACAGTCTCAGCTCATTGCAACCTCTGCCTCCTGGGTTCAAGTGATTCTTCTGCCTCAGCCTTCCAGGTAGCTGGGATTATAGGTGTATGCCACCATGCATGGCTAATTTTTGTATTTTTAGTAGAGATGGGGTTTTACCATGTTGGCCAGACTGGTCTCGAACTCCTGACCTCAAGTGATCCACCTGCCTCAGCTTCCCAAAGTGCTAGGATTGCAGGCATGAGCCACTGTGCCCAGCCCCAATGACTCTTAAAACAACATCTAAACTTGTAAGATGGCCACATGAACTGGCTCTGCTGAATTCTCTGATTTCAACCAGAAACACATCACCTCTCAAGCCTGTTAAGCTCATTCCCCAGAGGATTTGTGCCAGCTGTTCTCACCTCCTAGAATGCTCTTCCCCTAGAACTTTACATGGCTGCCTCCTTCCCACGATCAGGTCTCAGCCCAGCATCATCTAGAGTGGCTGTCCCTGGCCTCCCGAGATAAAGCAGGTTCCGCCTCCCTCACCTTTCACTCTCTGTCTCATTGCTTTTTAAATTTTCTAAGTGACATGATTTGTTCATTGATTTGTGGTCTCATTTATTGTCTGTCTGGGGCTAATAACAGGCAGGGGATTGAGTTCTGACCCCCAGCAACTAGAACTCTCCCTATCACAGTGTGATAGGTACAAATTTTTCTTGAGTTAAGTGAGCAAATTCGATTTGAGCCAGCCACTTGACAGGGAAGCAGAATTCTACCAGATCTCACTGTCGCTTCCCTCCAAGCTTCAGAAGCCTTGCTGACCTCCTTCCTCTCCATTTTGCTGTGCCCTCTCACCGTCCCCGAACTTGAGATCCCAAGCTTGAGGTTTAGCTGTGCTCTCTGTCCCTTGAAGACCCAGGCGGCCATCCACTAAGAAATGGGGACTTAAGTGAGACACAAAGAAAAACTTCCTCGTGGCAGGAACTGTAAGATACTGAAGACAAGATGCGGTGCTGGGAGGAAACGCGGTGAGGCATGGAGATCTATTTACCAGCGAGCCAATGGTGGTCTGCCAGGCCCAGCCGCCTGCACCCCTTGGCCTTCGTCGTATTGAATCCTTCTGCCAACTCCTGTCCCGCAACCCAAGTCATGCTTTTCTACTCTAGACACCCAGGGAACTGAGTCTTCTCCCCCAGGCCCTGCTCTGCTCGTGCGGGTGAGTGGCCACTTACAGGGAGGGCTGCCCTGCCTCCCGTCATCTCCTGCTAGCCCACTGTGTGCAGGAGACAGCACCTCATGATATTATGTTTGCAGACAAGCTCACACCTTCCAGTGAAGAAAAATTCAGGCAAAGGGCCTGAGGGAATGCAAGGCTTTCCCGGGAGTTATCAGGAGAACTTCCCTCATGCCTGTGCATGGCGGGCCCTGGTTTAGACCCCAACCTTGGTCCCCAGGGGACTTGCCATGACCTGAAAGAGGAGGACAAATCTCAGACCCTTCCTCCTGCCCCAGCTGGCCTGCACCCCTTCCTTCCCTCCTGCCCTCCCTCTCTGGGCTTTCTCCTACCTTCCCTCTCTGGGCTACCTCTCCACATGGATCTTGTGCCTTCCTCCAAAGCAGCTTTCCTGTAAGATCTCAGCTCAGCTCCACTGGCAGACAACGTAACAAAGAGCCTCAATAAGGCCAGCCTGGCAGGCGGCTTATCAAGATGTACGTCTTTGCTGTGCACGCAGACTGCCACCTTGGTGCTGCTGTGTCATCACAGACGGCAAAACCAAACAGATGCTCATGCACACACACTTACATACACACACGGACGCACACATTCAGGCACACACGGACACAAAAGCATGCACACACACTTGCACACACACATGCACACGCACACACTTGCACACACATGCATATGCACATGCACACACATATCCACACACATGCACACACACAGCATGCACACGAACACACGAGTTTGCACACTGTTGAGTGCTGTGGTCCCAGGAGCCAGAAGCTCCAGCTTTGCCCTCCTAACCCTTGTATCTGCTTCTCTTTCCTCCTCCTCTGTCTTGAGAACCCAACCAGGAGACTGCGAGTTGCACTGGATGGGGACTGTGGGGCATGAGGGGGATCATCTTTTGTAACACAAGCTGGGGACCCAGCAGGTGCACAGTGAATATACTTAGGTCACAGAAGGCCAGTGCCAGAAGGGAGATAAGAGATCTCAACCTGTCTCATTCTACAGGGCAGGAATCCAAGTCAGCAAGGCCTGGGGCTGCTGAGTGAACTCACTAGCTACCTAGTCACTGAGCAACAGAGTCTGAAGTCTGGGTCCCCTGACGCCCAGGCTCGAGCTCTTTCGTGTCCTCCATTGCTTGCTCAATTGACATGAAGGTGCTGGGGCCTGAAGGACACGGAGCAGGTGAGGCTGGTCCCTCTGCTCCAACCGCTCAGTGGAGGAAAGGAGACGAAGCACGCCGCAGCCCCTGCGCATGTGAGGGTGGCCCAGAGACAATGCCAGAGGTCAGAGGAGGAGCAGGGCCAGTCCTGGGGCATTCCAGGGAAATGGCATATTGCAGGTGACATGCTGGTTGAGTTTTTAAGGAAGGGGGAGGCCACCTATGGTCAGGAGAGCATTTCAGGCGCAGGGAAGGACACACTTTCATGGAGATGGAGAAGCAGGAAGCATGTTTGTGGGGAGGGGGGAGGCTCTTCGGCTTGACGGTGGGATGTGTGAGAGGCACCAACAGGGAGAGGTGAGAGGCAGGGAATTCCCCAGAGGTAAAAGACACTGCCTCCTCCTCCTGGGATAGCAGCTCAAGCCCTGTGCTGCCCGGGACCCAGACGAGCAGACAGAAGGGAGCATGCAGGAGCATCCTTCTAGGGGCACCCTGAGTCCAGGGGGTTCCTCTATCCTCACCCCAGCCCTGGTTGTGAATCCCCCAAAGAAAGCAGGCAAAATGGAAGACGAACCTGGGCCACGGTGATATATTTCCAGCACGCTGCTTCACCTGTCCACAGGCAGTGGACACAAAGGAAGCGGGTGTAGGGTTGGTGCACCAGGCTGGTGGGGCCCTGGCTCCCCTCGGGCTTGGTCCCTGGCTTGCTTGGTCTTCAGATTAGCTACTTCCCATCTCTTGGGATATCAATTTTTCTGACTTGCATTGTCCTGATTGGTTAGGAAAGAGGCCTCCGAGTTCTTGAATGACAGTCTCTTCCCTTCACATGTGCCTGACCCATCATAGGTAAGAGCAAAGGGGCCCTGAGAAGCCAAGCTTGTCCCCGGCACCGAGAACAGTCTGCAAGTTGCTGCTGCAGCCTGCCCAGTGCCCAAGCTCCCAGCCTGCCAGCTCTGGCATTCTGCTCCCCTAAGTAGTCCTGGCCTGGGGTGGTCAGTCCCTGAGGCTCAGAGACCTCTGCATGACCATGTGATCCCTGGCTTCGTGGGGCTCAGGACCCTTTCCTGTAGGGCCATTTGGCACATGGACATCCCTGTGTACCCTTCTTTTTTTATTGCATTTTGGGTTTCGGGGTACATGTGAAGAACATGCAAGATTGTTGCATAGGTACACACACGGCAGTGTGATTTGCTGCCTTCCTCCTCTTCACATATATCTAGTATTTCTCCCCATGCTATCTCTCCCCAACTCCCCACCCACCACTGTCCCTCCCCTATTTCCCCCTGACAGACCCCAGTGTGTGATGCCCCCGTCCCTGTGTCCATGTGTTCTCATCGTTCAACACCCACCTATGAGTGAGAACATGCGGTGTTTGATTTTCTGTTCTTGTGTCAGTTTGCTGAGAATGATGGTTTCCAGGTTCATCCATGTCCCTACAAAGGACACTTCTTTTGAATGACCTCGAGAAGGGTTCGGTTTTTCCTTCTCTTACAGGCAGGATGGAAGACGCTGCCTTGCATGTCTCTGAAATAGGAGAAAGACCCGCTTCCCAGGGGGCCTCAATGGAAACAAAAGTCAGCCGCTGGCTCTGTGTCTGTGCCTGCCCTTCTTTCCCCAGATGGAAGGGGAGAGAGAGAGGCACGGAAGACAGGTGCAGCCTGGGGGTGAGGGAGCGCCTGGAGGCGCGGGGTGGGAGACGGAGGTGGTGGGGAAACAGCTTTCCTCCTCCCAGGGGTCAGCAGCGATTCATCCACAGGCACCGTTTTCCACTGAAATGTGAGCACGGACAGGGTGAGCACAGCCCTCGCAGTGGCCGTGGTGCCTCTGGTGTGCGCCTGTGTGTGCTGCTGCCGCTGTCATCACAGATGCACCCCAGCTGTCACTCCCCGCTCTGCTCCGGCTTGTTGCTCGCGCACACGCGCGCGCTCTCCTCCCTCGCCCCTTTCTTCCCTCTCTCCTCTCTCTCTCTCTCTCCATCCCTCTGTTTCCTTCTCAGTTTGTGACTGACCCAGCAGCCCCGTACCCTGTCTGCTGCAAGCCGTCCACCTCCTGGTGCTGTGTGCTGTGTGCCAGCCCCTGCTCCTGCTGAGTGGAGACTCTGGCACCAGTGCCCACTGCGCTCTGCCTGCCGGTGGTGTCTGGATTTCTCCAGGAATCCCAGGAGGGTCTCACTGGAGGATTGAGAGCCACCTGATTGAAGGCGTTTGTGGTCAGAGTAAAGACGGGTAAGTGCTGAGCGGCTGGTGGGAAGGAATGGAGGGTTGGTGTGGACAAGGGGTGGTGGGGCATGGGAAGTGGGGACCGGCCATCTCTTTGCCCTGCAGGAATAGCTGCAGTTGCTTTCTACCTGGGGGCAATTGCTGGGGCTGAAGAAGCTGCTCGGGCTCAGGCATCTGAGCATCCCAAAGGTGCACGACACTGGGAACTCTGATCCCACAGTGCTGGGGACAAGAGCTGTGGATCCTGCTGGGAAGCGGGAGGAGGGCAGTGCTGGTGCCGGATGACAGCCCCGGGTGGCATGGAAACCGGTCCCTGCAGCATGCAAGAAGCAGCCAGGAGCCTTGTGCTGTCCGTGTGTCTGGCTCCACACAGACAGCCCCAAGAAACTCGGGCGGCAAGGGAAGCGGGTGGGACGGCGGCCGGGTGCTAGGAACAGATAAGAGGAAGGCTTGGGGTGGAGGGTGGCAAGGTGGAGGGTCTGGGTGTCTGAGGCAATGGGCACAGACCCGGGGACTGGGCCTCCCTACAGGCTGCCTGCAGGTGGCTGTCCTTGGACAAGGGTGGAACCCTCCCCCAGATGAACACAGGTCCACTTGGCTATGCCTGAAGCCTCCCAGGTGAGGGTGAGGCCGGGAGTGGGCAAGAGAGAGAAGCCCTTCCCTGCTAGCCCAAGGGCAAGACAGGAGAACCAGGCCTGTGAGAACCTGCTGAGGTGTCCCGCAGCTGTACACCCAGCCGTCCATCTACAAATGGGTCAAGGAGGCTTAGTGGGGGCTGTGTCCTGAGCTTGGGGGCCGGGGACCACAGCGGGACCAGGCCTGTCTGGTTTCTTGACCCAGGCAGGGGTCATGGACACGCTGAGTGGAGTGGGCAGTCACTCTCAGTCCCCCAGGCCCATTTGGACAGCACCGGAGAGAGGGGCAGCCTGACTGGGAGTTGGAAGTTCATATTCCTGCACCTCCCCACAGGTCTGGGGCTAGCTTCCAGTTAGTGGGTCTGTCTCCCCCACCCCCAGCTTGGTCCACATTTCTGGGGGGTGCTGGCACCTGGCTGTCAGGGCTCTTTGGGCAGTGCCTCTATGTGACTCAGATGACACCCCTGCAGCTTAGATAACTGCCTCAGGTGGGGGCGGGGAGGGAGCTGAGCACGTGGAGCTGAGGCGGGGGAAGTCCAGCTGGTAGGGAAACCCGACAGCAGCTTCCGAGCTGCCAAGAAGAGCCCAGCTCTTCCCACCCCCACCTCCCCACCGCAGAAAGAAAGTCTCAGCACTGCCAAAAGAGGGAGACCAGGAAAGCCAGGCCCGCGGGGAGGGGAAGGAGAGTGGCTGCTTAAGCAGCTGATCTGGTGTCTTTGGGAGTTGGCAGAAGCCTGTCTGGGCCCAGGATGAGCAAACCCTGCTCCCATTTCCCAGGCAGCAGGGCCCAGGGGCCACGTCTGGGCTGCTTTGGCCTCAGCGGGCAGTGCGGGAAGGGAGGAGGGAGTGGCGTGTATGCAGTGATTGGGGGTGTTTGGGAGCTCTGGGGGCGGGCAGAGGAGGAAGGAGCCAGCATAGAGGCTGTTTGCCCCTTTGGTCTTCCTCCTTCTTCACCCAGCCAGGCCTCCCCCGCACCTTGCCTGGGGCCACCACCCTGAGCCCAGCCCAGTGGACACCTTATATCCTTCATATTAGGGAGCAGCTCCCAGGAGGAGCTGCTGAGGTGGCTTCTCTGTTCTGCTTCCCAGAGGGTCTGTTTGGGATTGGGAATATCTGACAAGGAAACGGGAGCGCAGGAAGCTGGGGGTGAGGATGGGGCATGTGTTTTAAAATGAACCAGGAGGGCATATGTCTGTTCCAAGTACAAAACCTGCCTCCTTGCTGCCTGGGCAGTATGTGTGAAGGGGGTGATGGGCAGGGAAGAGATCTAGCGTGTGTCCTAGAGTCTCTGGGTGCCCCGTGTGCAGTGTCGGGGGGAGCCCAGCCTAGACAGCAGTGGCAGCGTCCTCTGCGTCCCGGCCACATGAAATCTCTGCTGTCTTCTGCGTGGGGCTCTGGCTGCCCACTCTCTGGGCTCCCTCTCAGCCTTTCTGGGGTTGACAAAAGGGCACTGCCCCTGCAGGCCCAGGGCATGAGCCCAGTCCTGGCTCTGGTTCTCTCTGGCCTTCTGCAGAGTGAAGGGGGTGGCAGAGTGGGCTGCCAAGGCCCCTTTTACCCAAATGAGGGAACTTGGAAATGAGGAGTTCTGTGAATCTTCCATGCTGAGGGATGTGGAGGCCTTGTCCTGAATCAGGGACCCTTGACCCAGGGGAGATGCCAGTGGAGCAGGCGCACAGTAGGGCCAGCATGATGGCCCAGGAGTCAGGAACTCAGAGGTGGAGGCCTGATGGGCCTTAACTGGCTGTGTGTCTTGGACACTTGACATGGAGGGATAGACATGTGCAGACGCATCAGAGGAAGGGCACGGACACCAGGGGAGTGTGCTGGCGGTTTCCAGTGAGAGCCTGAGCCTAGATTAATTCACTTCCATCTGAGGAGGATGTAAGGGGAAGGTGCATGGAGCATCCAGGCTCCCACCGTCCCAACCTAGCTTTCCACAGTGAGTGAGTTCGTCAGGCTGCTCCATGCCCTGAGGGGCCAGGTGGGGCGCTAGCAGGGAGGCAGCTCCCACCCCCACTCTCCAGGGTGGCTGCAGCCCACTCAGCTCCGCACGTGGAACCCCCTGCTCCTACTGGGGCCTGCTGCTCCCCCATGGCCTCCCCAGCCCTGGCTGCCCCGGATCAGAGCTCCAGCCTACTCCCCTCACCTCAGCACACAACAAATCCCCCAGCCAGAAAGGTTTCTAGAAAGCTCCCTCCCCTCTCTGTATGAGCCTGGCTTCCCAGGCCTTCTTTTTTTTTTTTTTTGAGATGGAGTTTCACTCTTGTTACCCAGGCTGGAGTGCAATGGCGCGATCTTGGCTCATCGCAATCTCTGCCTCCTGGGTTCAGGCAATTCTCCTGCCTCAGCCTCCCCAGTATCTGGCACTACAGGCACGCGCCACAACGCCCAGCTAATTTTTTGTATTTTTAGTAGAGACGGGGTTTCATCATGTTGACCAGGATGGTCTTGATCTCTTGGCCTCGTGATCCACCCGCCTCAGCCTCCCAAAGTGCTGGGATTATAGGCGTGAGCCACAGCACCCTGCCTCCAGAGCTTCAAGAAGGGAGGCTGGGAAGAGGGGAACCTGGCTTGCCTGCATTTCAGTCCAGCAAGTCACAAAGCCTCTTCCTTCATCAGGTATATGGGGACAAATCAGCTGCTTTCTCAGCTCCAGTGAGAGTGGACCAGGCAATGCTGTGGGCACTGCAGAGGACCACTCAGAGGAAAGGCGGCATCTTCCTTTCCTACCTCTGCCTTTCCTGTACCAGTAACCTCCGAGTGTAAGCAGACAACTGAGTTAGGAGCCAGAGAGCTTGGGCTCAGCGCCATGTGAGTCCATTTGCTTAATTTTAGGCGAGTTACTTAATTTCCTGTGCCTCAATTTCCCCCATCTGCAAAATGAAAGTAACAAGAACACTAAACTCAGAGAGTTGTTACAAGGATTAAGAGCACTCCACAGGTCTGTGACTGTGACATTTGTTTCTCCCCAGGTCCCAGTTAGCTTCTCAGTGTGTCCTGGAGGCTCAGGGACAGGCCAGCATGATCTCCTTGGTGGCTGTTTGCCCTGCTGAGAGGTGCCGGCCTAGTAGTTATCAAATGCGAATATGCATGAAAATCGCCTGGGGTATCTCGTTAAAATGCAGATTCTGACTCACTCACTCTGGATGCTACCTGAGACAGCCTTCCTACCAGGCTCCCAGGCCAGACCAAAGCCGCTGGTCCGTGGACCACGTTCTGTAGCCCTGTGTTTCTGGTGCTCCAGGGTTTCTGGTGCTCCTCAAAGCCCCATGTTTCTGGTGCTCCAGAGTTCCTCATTGGGCAGCTTTGAGCTCCTGAGCCCCATTCTCCAATCCTGGCTCTCTCTGGAAGGGAGACCAGGGACTCCATGGAGGCCTAACCCCTTATCTTTGGCCTCCCTGTCTCTAGGACTGGGTTAGGAGCAGGCCTAGCATCCATAGGGAATGAGGCCATGGGACCTGGAGAGAGATCTGGCTGTCCCCCACGCTGCACCCTGGGTGGGGACTTCCCTCCCAGACTGTGAATTGATTTCAGCAGCTGTCAGCGCCTGCTGCAGCAGCTGCTCTCCAAGCTTCCTAATGTAGGTCACCCCCTTTCCTTAAGGAGGCTCCACTCTTCTGGGGGTGGGAAGGGTCCTTTGGATGGAGGTGTGTTGGTAGGCGGAGGCTAAGGAACTAGAAAGTGCTGGCTGCAGCCCCACCTCTCCCTAGGAGTCCTTCTGTGGTGCCACACACGTATGCCTGGCCTCCCCTGCGAGCTGCACTGTTCTTCTTGCTCTCGGGAAGGCTCTTTCAGCAGGAAGCCCAAGGGACCCATTGGCAGGATTAGCTGCTCAGAGAGCACAGGGCATATCTACGTGGATCTGGGGGGCTTGCTTTTCTCTTGACGCTACCAGGATCAATAGCGTCCTGCCACACACCTGCAGGTCTGCATTGTGGGGACTTGCCTGACTTGTGCAGGTGACATCCCATTTGAGGCTGGGGATGGGACATCCAGACCTGCACAAGAGGCCACCTTCACCAGCCTGTTTGCTGGTCAACCCCTGGGCTCACAGTGGGGGAGACACTGAGGGACAGGAAGGGGTGGGGTGCAAAAGAGGAATCTGCCCAGAGGAGACAGAAACCTTAGGTGGAAACTGGCCTGAGGTTACACATCTGTCTGCTGGGGAAATTTGGGAACGTAGAGGCATCTCATCAGCTGCTTGAGTGTTGGCATTTGAGAAGTGCTGGGGTGCTGCCAGCAAGGTGAGAGTGTGCATGTGTGCAGGCATGGGGGCACATGTGTGTTAGCACATGCCTAGCTGCACAGCACTCTGTGGGTGTGTGTTTGCATCACGTGCTGTGTACAGGGCTCCAAGCACATGTCCGGGAGGCCTGTGTGTGTGCCCTGCTCTGTGCACACGTAACTATCTCCCTAAAAGGGTCACTGCTGGGTGACAGTCTACAGGGAGTCAGAGCAGCCTGGCTCAGAAACCTGCAATCCAGTCCCTGACTTACCATGTGACCTTGGGCAAGTGATCATTGTCTCTGAGCCTTGGGTGGCCATGGACCATGAGCTCTTGTTATGGGCATTCTCGATTGAGTAGGAGAGATTGTTCTGAAGGTCAGGGCTTGAGGGACAGACAGCAGGGGTGCTGCTGTTTGAAGGCAGGACTATGAAGGCCGTGGGTGTGGGGCAGAAATACATAGACTCCACAGGGCCGGGGTGCTCAGAAATGAGAAATAACGTTACGTGTGAGGTTGGTGGGACTGGGAAAGAAAGCTGTCACATAGACCTGCTTCTGACACCCCTCTCCCTTGAAGGGAGGAACTACTGCTCCTCACGCCTGTTTTGGGCTCAAGTCCAAGCTAGGAGTAGGAGCCTTTGCCTGAATTTCCATGGGGATGTGCCTTGAGTGTGTCAATTCTCCTCCCTTCACTAGATTGATCTTCATAGAAATTCCACCAATCAGGTATTGTGGTCACCACTTCTAGATGTAAAGAAGCTGAGGCCCAGAGAGTTTGTTTAAAGAAGTGGCCAGACAGGGATTTGAACCCAGAGCCCCTACCCCTGCCAATAGGCACCAGGAGCCCACTGGGACCTGGCCTTGAGACAGTGGTTAGAGAACCGTGATGGCGCCACTCTCAGGGGCTCCTGCACCCCTCACGCCAGGGACACAAGTTCACCCGAAGGCTGCATGGGGACCTGGGCTGCCTGCAACTCCACATCGTGCCCAGCCTTGTGACCCCTCTGCCCGCTCCTGCAGGGCCCTCGGCGGGCTGGCACCCTCGCTGTGTGGGGGAAGGGGAGAAAAGACAGCCAAGAGGGCAGATCTCCGTTCCTAAGCAGGCTGCCCTTGCTGGGGGCAGAGCCGACTGTCCTGTTCTAACTGGGCACTGCTGTGGCCGCCTGAGGAGCACCCGAGGAGGGAGGGGCTGAGGGGAGCAGAGGGGAGAAGATGGGGCAACAGGGTTCGCAGCAGCAGGACCCTAATTTCCGAGGGGAAACCTGCACGAATGGACCAAGATTTCCGGGCTCAGCACTCAGGCTTCTTGGCGACTCCATCCACCTACGGGGCTGTCAGCTCCACTCTGGTATTGATATCAGCCCCCAGAATTGCATAGGCCCATGGGGGCAGTGAGAGGGAGGCTGCAACCAGGAATCACCCAGGGACAAATCTGGCAACCAAAGAAGGTCAGGGGCTGGGAGCTGCCCGGTTCAGGGAACCTGTGGAGTGCAGAGAGGGCTGTGGGCACTTCCCTCCCGGCCCTGTCCCCTCCAGCTGCAGCAGGTAAACACATGGCAGAACCCTGTCCCCTCTCTGATGGGCTGGCAGCCTGGGCTTCCCATCTGGAAGGAAGTGGAGACCCCAGCACACAGCCTGTGTCCCAGCTGAGAGACACTGGGGGGCAGACCCTAGAAAGGGTAAGTGCCCCCTTGGCCCCTCGGAAGGAAGCCTGCTCCTGCACCCTGGCCGCCTCAGGGCCCTGCTCTGTGATCTCACCTCTCCTCCGTGCCCCTGTCTCTTCCTAGCAGCTGCTGCAGCATGAACCCCTGAGCTGATGAGTCTTATTATAGCCCGGCTGGCGGAAGACAGAGTGCTGCTATTCACCTCTGCGAGAGCGGCGGCAGTGCAGGGGGAAGCGGCAGGCCACCCAGTGGCTCACACCCTACGTGGCTGCAGCTGCCAAGGGCCTGGACCCTGTCTCCCTGGGGCCATGGTGAGCTGTGATGGGGCTGCAGAAACTGGGACCCAGGTGAGGGGAGCCTCTAGGGACAGGTGACAGCTGTGGCCTGTGACTTCACTGCTCACCTCGGAGAGACAACCTTAGTTTCTCCACCCGTAACTCAAGGAATGCCTAGATGGGAGACCATGTTGCCATGAAAACATTTGAGTGATCAACATACTCCAGAGGCAACAAGAAGGCGGTGGAGGCTGGGTGGACACTCGGGTGCGCCCCCTGCCTGGCAGCACTATGCCTGCCCTCACCTTTGGGCTCCTGGGAAGCTGAAACCTGCCCGCCCCCACCCCAGGGGGTTGAAGGTTTCCTGGCTCCTCTCCTTCTGCTCCCTGGCTTCTTTTCTTCCCCAACCCAGGGAATCATAACAGAGGAACAGGAGAGGGCATGAGGAGTGTAAAGAGACACCCGGGCCCTCTCCCTAACCCCTGGGTTGGAACGGGGCTCCCACGCCTGCCTGGGCTCAGTGCTCCTCCCTCCCTCAGGACTGACAGGCGGCGCACCCAGGGGCTCCTCTCCCTCCAGAGCGACAGGGCCCGGAGAGCCATGGGCCTCACCATGCTGGCACCGGGCAGCAGCCCTGAGCAGAGGGGCAGGCTTGCCCTGCAGCTGAGGCAGGTGTCCTGTGAGTACAACCCTGGCCCGGAGGAGGGTGCAGGTGGGGTGGGGGTGCTAAGGTGACCATGGGTGGCAACACTTAGGCTGCAGGGAGGCCTAGGCCAGATCTTCCTGGGATGCCCGAGGCCACGTTTTGGGAAGCCAGGTCATGCCCATGGTGACAGCATCCCCGCCAGTCAGAGTCACTGCAGAGTGCTGAGCAGTTAGACTCGTTCTACCTCCCCCAGGTAAGTCTCTGTTACCTTGCTGGGGTCCCCGATAAGAAAAGAGCTCTGCTGGAATGTAGGCCTGCTGAGTCTTACCCAGCCTCACTGAGGCCTGAGCTCGCCAGCCTGAGCTTGTTAGCCTGTGTTTCACAGACCGTGGTGAGCCCTGTTGTTCCCATGGGGAACTGCCCCCTTGGCTGGCCTCGGCCAGGAGCTGGGTCAGCTTGGAGATGTCTCTTATGCTCCTCATGCCTCTGCTTTCCCACCTCTCAGTAGAGAACCTAGTAGGCTCTTGGGATGCGGTGCTGGAAGAGACTTTGGGGTGTGGGCCTAGCCCCTCCTGCATGTGGGCAGACTGAGCCCTCCATTTACCAAAAAGGAGAGGAAGTGTGAATGAAGGCAACACTTGGCAGCTGTCAGCATGAAAGGAGCCCTGAGAATTCTCTTTATATGTGTCAAAGGGACAAGGTCAGCAGGGGCTGGTCTGCCCAAGGCTAGACGGTGGTAGGGAGGAGATGGTCCTGTGGGACAGCCTTCCGCCTGACTTCCCGCTGTGGCCAGCCCTGTGATACGGCGTCCCACAACACGGGCAGCCTGAATTATTCACCATGTGAGAGGCTGGCCCCTGAGTGACTCAGATCTCCTTTCAACCTCATTCTAGAATCACTCAACACCTCGCAATACGGGATTATGTTTTCTTGTCACTGGAGCTTTCATGCCACCCTGGTCTCCTGGAGGGGTGGGCAGGCGGAGGGTTGCTCTTCTCCAGCAGCTCTCTTGGCCCGCTGTCAGCCCCTTCTCTGGGCGGGGTGAGTGGCTTCTGGTGATGCTGATCCTTTGAGAGGGAAGCTGAATGGGTTGAATTTTTTTCCTGGGGAAAGTCAAGTCTGAAGAATGCTGATTTTCAAATGGCTTGGGGTGGTGGTGTAGAGCCAGATGATCTGGCAGCAGATGGGCTTAGAGGGGTGAGAGGCTGAGCCGTGACATAAGGTGACCCCAGATGGCCAGAAAGGGTCTCCCCAGTGGGCTTCAAGGGCTGTGCCTGTGCTCACTTCCCCCTGAGAACAGCAAGGTCCACTGTTAGGGTGCAGGGAGGCCTAAGCCAGATCTGACACGTGGCTCTCAGCTGTCATCGACCCTCCATGCGGGGGAAGCGAAGAGTCTCATCCTGTTCCTTTGGGACACCAGACACCCAGGCCCCTATTGGACAGAGACTCAAGGCTGTCCCACCCAGGCACCCAGGTGGGGGTGGGCCGATGGCTGTGAGCTGGATCTGAACTTTTCTACCAATTCTCTGGCTGGGGTCTTTCCTCTGGGCTGGGTGGAACTGACCTTGGCTGGGCTGACCTGATGGGGCTGAGCTATTCTGAGTGCTTCCCAGTTCCTTTTCACCAGCCTTCACTGCTCCTCAGAAGGACACTTAGGGGTTTTTAAGGCCACTACTGGAAAGGGCCGCTCTGCAACGGAAGGACTGCTCTGGTGTGACTGTTCCCCGAGGGTCACTCCCTCCAGCCCTGCAGATGGGACCCCAGGCTTGCTACGCAGAAGGGTCTTGGGCAAAAGACGGGACCAGGAAAGGAACTCTGTGAATCGAGCCATTGTGCATGAATGCTGCCCTGCAGCCCCTAGGAACAGAAGCCCAGGCTGAGATCCTGGATGGCTTTAGGGTGGGGGTCAACTTTAGGGTGGAACTTTTCCTGGGCCGGTGATTTGTCAATGCTGAAGTGGATTTGTGCGTCTTAGCCTGTCATTCCCACAGTGGGATCCTAGGCGCACAGCCTGGGCTCTAAAGCCTCACGTCAAGTTGCTGGCGTCATCTTGGGTGTGGGGTTCACGGAAAAGTAACAGCACCTGGGAAACTGTGAAGGACAGGGCTAGGAGTGCCATTTTGTGCTCTCGCCTTTCCATACACAGCCTGTCTTCAGTGCAGCTCCAGAGTCGGGGTGGGCCGCAGAGGGAAGGGAGCCAGCAGCCAGGCCATCTTCCTTGGGAAAGAGAAATTGTCCTGGCAGAGACACTGGGAGAGGGCATGAGAGCGGGTTTCTCATGACAACCTTATCTCCTTTATTTTATCAACATCCATGGTGTCAGTGGGACCCAAGCTCCCCAGGAGCTGACTGTGGGAGGCCCTGTGAGCTTCCCATCGCTGTGCGCCAGGGTGGCTCGTCCTCTGGGCCCTGGCTGAGTCTGCAGAGTCGTTCTCCACTCAAGTGATTTCTGTGCCAGATGTGTGGCAAGGCAGGGCACCCTGCAGACACTGTGTGATACCCATTAATATGGAAGTGGCTTTGGATTTGTTAATTATCCTTTTATGTGGTTAATAAATGATTATGCATTGATTGTGGTTTGTGCCAAAGGAGATAAAGCCAAGAGCCTGTTATGATATGAGCTAGAAAGGAGGGGAGAGAAGCGGGAGGTGGTGACCTCGCCTGTTGCTTTCTTTCCCCCGTCTGTCCCTTCCATCAAGGGATCACCTGCTGGATCACCCTGTATGCAGTGGAGGCCCTCCCCACCTGCCCCTTCTCCTGCAAGTGTGACAGCCGCAGCCTGGAGGTGGACTGCAGTGGTCTAGGCCTCACTGCGGTGCCTCCGGATGTGCCTGCGGCCACCCGAACCCTCTTGCTCCTGAACAATAAGCTGAGTGCCCTGCCAAGCTGGGCTTTCGCCAACCTGTCCAGCCTGCAGCGCTTGGACCTGTCCAACAACTTCCTGGACCAGCTGCCCCACTCCGTTTTTGGGGACCTGACCAATCTGACCGAGCTGCAGCTGCGCAATAACAGCATCAGGACCCTGGACAGAGACCTGCTGCGGCACTCCCCAATGCTCCGCCACCTGGACCTGTCCATCAACGGCCTGGCCCAGCTGCCCCCTGGCCTTTTTGACGGGCTCCTGGCTCTGCGCTCCCTCTCGCTTCGCTCCAATCGCCTGCAGAACCTGGACCGGCTGACGTTTGAACCCCTGGCGAACCTGCAGCTGTTGCAGGTGGGGGATAACCCCTGGGAGTGTGACTGTAACCTGCGTGATTTCAAACACTGGATGGAGTGGTTCTCCTACCGAGGTGAGCACAGCTGGCCCTGCTGGGGCCTGAGGGATTGGGAGAATCACCCCTGGACCCACACTTTCCTCCTGGTGGCTGGGCGCTGACTCAGAGAGCAGGCCAGGGGAAAGAAGGGGGCGACCCTGCCTCTGTGCCAGCTCGGCTAGAAGAGTCACAAGCCTCCCCTCAGATGATGAGCCATCACCCTTCCTGCCAGTGGGAGACAGGCTGGTGCTGCTCCCTCCACCCACCCTCCCCTCCCCGATCTGCATCCCCTCCCCCAGCCAGCTCCCCCCTTCCTCCTAGGAGGACTCGCTGAACTTGATCTCCCTTTTGTAGGTTACATAAGGGAAGTAGAGACACCTGGGCTATCCCACCAGGTTTGCCTGTGGGCTTCCCCAGTGTGGTGGAAGGAGGGAGAAAAACAGCTCTTCTTCTGAAGAATACAGCTGCCTCTTAAACATCTGCCCTTACAGGAGAGGGGATAGAATGAATCCTCAGTAAAGCCAAATCTTCCTTTTGGTGGCACTGCCAACTTCCTCTCCCAAGAAGTTTTGTTATCCAAATTTCAAGAAGAAGTCAAATGGGTTAGGCTTTACTTTCTTTCCTTCCCTTTTTCTTTAACGTGGGAAAGTACCAAAATGACTTATGAGATGATCATGTGACAGGAAAGGAGGGTAGTCAAGATGGTGGTGAGGAGGGCCAGACCCTGGTCTGAATTTCGGCTCTGCCACCTGCTAGCTGTGTGATCTTGAGAAAGCTGGTTATCCTCTCGCTGTGGCAGGGCCTTGTCTGGAAAGTGGGAAGGAAACAATATCCATCTCATAGGGTCATTGTCAGGATTAAATGCGGCAATGCACAGAACGTGGCTTGAGAGGTGCTTCACAAAGTAAGACCTCAACAAAACGTCCATGTATCTGTTCACGTGCTGGTAGCGATCAAATACTAAGTGGGCTTGAAACACCATTTGGTGCCCAGCACAAAGTAGGTGCTCAGTGAATGTTTGCTCAATATTTAAGCTGTGAAAATGATGCCAGTGGTTTTCGCTGAAGTCTTACTACTTTTGTTTCATCTCCAGCCACAATTTCAAATATTTCCACAAAATTCTCCTGCATTAGTTAACTAAAAATGTTTTACAAACTATAAAGTGCCACAAAATGTTAGTCACTATGATCATTTCTCCCATTTTCATGAGTGTGGAAATGATGATTACTACTTGTATGTTTCCAGTTTACCAATGTCTTTTCATGTACATTATTTTAATCCTTACGTCAGCTAATTGAGATAGACCTTCTTATGTTACAGTTAAGAAAACTAAGACTCATATGTAATTAAATGAATTAAATAATTTTCACAAGATGGCACAGCCAGTATTCAAGCTTGGGTCTTCTGAGCAGGGAAATGAGGCTGCACCTGTCAGCACTCAGCTCTGCGTCCCCAGGCAGCCCCACTGATACATGTCCCTGGGATGTGAGGTTTGCTGCAGGCCACCCAGGCATCAGCTGCACAGGGGAACCAGGCCGCGTGTCTGCACACCCTCCCCTCCTATGGTCGCCAGAAACTGAATTCCCAGCACAAAAAGGCATGCCATGAGATTGTGCATTTTTCAGACTTTTTCAATAGCAGAGTTGCTTTCAACCTTGCATTTTTAAAAACAAAATCCTGGAATATTTCCATCAGCATCCCAGGGAAGGATTGATGCCTATTGTAGGAAGAGACTTGAGGCAGATGGGCTGCAGAGGGAGCTGGCAGTGACAGAGAGGCTGCAGCCCGAATCTCTTCAGCAGGGGGTCTAATGCCTACGTCTAGATTTCACTGGAAGCTGAAAGAGGGCCAGAATCCAACTTTCACTTCCTAGGGGACATCTAGGCGGGTTTTTGTCCTCAGCCACCCTCTCTCTTACCCTATTCTGTCCTGCATCTGTGTCTCTCCATGTCTGAGCCAGGCTCCACCATCACCATGAAGATGTCATGGTGAGCCCATGTGCCTGTGTACCCACACCTCCTCATCAGCACCAGCCTCCTCCCCTTGGCCTAGTGTATCTCCAGGGTTCCCCCTCCAGGTCCCTTTGTATTCACAGGGCTGTGGTTGGGACACTGATGGGGACACTGGATTGCTCCTAAGGAGGAAAAGGAGAACATTCCTGCCCGACTCTCTTCCTCCCTACACCAAGAAGGGAGCTGCCCATTCTTAGGCAACCAAAAGGTCCTGCATGGAGGGGCAGTGGCAGAGGCAGTGGGTTTGACTTTTGTCCTTTGTGTGAGAGGGAAGAACCCTAGAGGGATAAGATGCTGTGTTGAGACGGTGTCCTGGGCTCACCGACAGGCGATGAGCAGGCAGATTCCAGGGCAGAGGGTGGCAGGGACACTCCGCTCTCCACAATGACAGCCCTTTCCTGAGCACCTCCCATTTAGCTCTGCCTTACTCTGTGGGTCAGTTTGGCCCAGGAGAGGACAGGCTGGATGGAAGTGGCTGCATGCTTCTCTATAAAATGGGAATAATGACAATATCCATTTCACATGGCTTCTGTGAGAATGAAATGGCACGATATACGTAACTCACTGTGGACTTGGCTCAATCGATGCTGTTTTCCCTCCTCCGCTTCCTCTTCTATAGATGGCGATTCCAGGATTGACTACATTGCTGATAAAAACTACCTTCTGGGGCTTCCATTTTGGGGAGCTGGGGATGGGGAAAGGGAGTGGAAGTTCTGGGCCCCTGGACAGCCCCTCTTTTTTCTCCTGCATGCAGGGGGGCGCTTGGACCAGCTTGCCTGCACCCTCCCCAAGGAGCTGAGGGGGAAGGACATGCGCATGGTCCCCATGGAGATGTTCAACTACTGCTCCCAGCTGGAGGACGAGAATAGCTCAGCTGGGCTGGATATTCCTGGGCCACCCTGCACCAAGGCCAGTCCAGAGCCTGCTAAGCCCAAGCCCGGGGCTGAGCCGGAGCCGGAGCCCAGCACAGCCTGCCCCCAGAAGCAGAGGCACCGGCCGGCGAGCGTGAGGCGAGCCATGGGCACAGTGATCATCGCAGGGGTCGTGTGTGGCATCGTCTGCATCATGATGGTGGTGGCTGCTGCCTACGGCTGCATCTATGCCTCCCTCATGGCCAAGTACCACCGGGAGCTCAAGAAGCGCCAGCCCCTGATGGGGGACCCTGAGGGTGAGCATGAGGACCAGAAGCAGATCTCTTCTGTGGCCTGAGTGCCAATCCCCACCTGGCCAGGTAGGAAGGGCAGGGAGAGCACACCGCATTGCTCTGCCATAGCCCCCACCTTGACATGGCGCTGGCCACTGCTTCCCCCAGTCCACTCTCCTCCCCACCCTCCAGCAGACAAGCCACAACAGGCTTTCTCCCTGCACTTCCAAGGCTCCCTGGAAGCCACGGTGCTGGGGGCTCCTGCTGATGCTCCTCTCTGGGCCAGTACATCTTTGGAACATCTGGGGGATCTCCCTAAGCTCTGGCCACAGCAAAGCAAGGAGGTATGTGCCAGAGGAGGCTTCCAGGCTGGGCGTTCCCCTGTCGTCCTTCCTGCCCGGGGGCGGCCACAGCTGGTGACTTGTCCTACCTTGCTGGTCCCACCTCACCTGCATTGAGGGGACAGGGAAGGAGGAATCTGAGGGATGGGGTAGATTTCTGAGACTCTCTCCTGAGCCAGAAAGACGTTCTTAACACCCCTGCAGTAAGAAACCTGGTCCAGCTCTACAACTGCTGGCACCAATGTGCAAACACACCAGTCCTGCCATCTGGACCCAGCACTCAGAGAAACCATACACCCCTGGCCGATGCCATCAAGCCCCTGGATCTGCTATAGGCCACACTGACCACATGCTCCTGGATTCACTAGTTCACTCACACACACCCTTTGTGTCACCAGTGCAGTCACATGGATTGAAAGAATACACACACACACACACTCTCTCTCTCTCTCTCTCTCTCTCTCTCTCTCACTCTCACTCACTCACACAGTCATGTGGAGACCAAGGCTATGAGCACTGGGACAGCAGAGACATACTCTTCCCTGGGGTTCTCCCTGAGACCACAGAGCCTCTGGCTTGCTCACTGCAATTTTCTCAAGTCAACAGAGGGAAGGAACCCAACCAGTAACACCAGGATCCTTTGAGATCCTCCAAAGTGGGCCAAAGTGGTGCCACTGGAGGAGACTTCCTGTCACCATGGTAACCCACTCACACCTCTCCTGCTGGGCTTTCCCAGGATACCACCCAGGGGCCTGGAGCGGCTGCATGTGCACATGGCGGCCTCCTGAGAATCCAGCCACACACCACTGGTGTTCCTCGGTCCTGCCCATGCACATCACAGCGCCAGGCCCCGGGGGCCCCCCGCCAATTCCTCCACAGCCTGCAGCCTGGCACCGTGACTCTGTACCTCTCCCTCTCCATCTTCAGCACTCCTGGCCTGTGACTTCAGGGCAGGGACTTGGAGGTGCTTTGCCATTGGTGGCACCCTCTGGGGAAAGCAGGTGGCAGGCAGAGAACACGGTGGCTCTCCTGAGGCTCATTGCCTGCTAGCTCATCCCAAACAGACTCCACGAGCGGGAGGGGCGGCCACATGCTGCCCAGAGGCTCCGAGGATGGGGTTTCTGTTCCTGGGTTTCGTCTGCTCAGTGTGGCTCTCCAGAGCACTTCATGGCACCTGGGTGGGGTCCAAACCAGAGGGTGGGTGGGGAGCCTGCCTGGGACGGAGCCACCTGCTGCCAAGACATGGAGGTTTTCAGGGTCACTCATCCCCCTCTCGAGCCCCGCCCCACCTCGGAGTGTGATGGTGGTGGGTACCTAGGTGTCGTGCTCACAGGCTCAGCAGGTGTCAGGCTTGTCTCTGGCTCTTGGGTGGAATCTCGATGGGGGCTCAGGAAGAGGCCAGCCAGAACCCTGAAGCCAAGGGGCTGAGTGGAGAGAGTTGGCAGGCCTAGCTTCTGTGCCCTCCTCCAACCCTCCCTGCTTATGCGGCCATGGGTGGGTGAGGTGGGCTGGGGGCCAGGAGGAGTGCCTTTGAGAAGGTTGGTCCTGGCAGGTGGACAGAGGGCACCTGGCATGGGCTGCTTACTGGGACCCCAGGCCACCCTAGCCTCAGTCACAGTCTTCCTTCTTTTGGTGTGCGGGCTGATACCAGATCTGGGGATTTTCTAAAGGGACTGTGGGGAGGGGAGGGCATTGTCAATGGTGGTATCTTTAGCCTGAGACAGAAGATTTTTAAAGGCAAAATTATATTTCTGGTTTGTTGTTTCAGAAGAATAATAAAGACTGTATTTTCCTACATACTTCCTGGTTTCATTGGGTGGGAAGGGGTCTTGGGTGCTGGGAGAGTCGCCTCCTGCCCCCACCTCCCCAGGGGGCTGGACAAAGCGCGGGTGGCCATGACCATGGTGCACAGAGCTCTGACAACAGATGGTGCCTCCTGCCCGGGGCCGGGGCTGGGGGAGAGCTGAGGCTGAGTCCTGGATCAGTGAGGGCCTGTGGCTGGGGGCAGTGAGCTCATGGCTTGGCAGCATCGGGATGGTACATCCTCCCTGGCCTGACAGGCAGGTTCCTGAGCTCCAGGGCAGCTTTGCTGGGCAGCACCACGGCTGTGGTGTGAAGGTGAGCTGGGGAGCCGACCAGGGCCCGAGCCTTGCGGATGCTGCCCATCTACCCAGGCTTGACATGAATCAGCCCTGGCAGCCAGGACAGACAGGCCCGTGTGGCGAGAAGGCACTGTTCGCCCAGAGGATGCTGCCGCACAGGGGAGGGGAGGGCATTGAAGGGGCCTCTACTGCCTGGGTTCTGTCAGCCTCACTAGATACTGGCGGGGCTGGCAGAGAGGAGGAGCTTATTCAGGGCTGACTCAGGGGCCCAAAAACCACACTCTGGACCTGCAGAGTGAACCCTTCACGGGGCTCAGCAGGTGGGCCCTGGAATCACAGACTGGAGGGCTGGGGAGTGAGGCACAGAGGAGAGGGGATGAGGAAGAGCATCAGGCCTCTGGGATGGTGAGCATGCTGCAAGCCCCAGTGAAGAGCAGGGCTCAGTGCTCGGCCTGAGAATCCACTCTGGGGCTGGGCTGGCCGCTGGCTCACCGGGTCTTGGCTATATGGTTCATTAGTCTTCAGAGTCCAAGGCGGAATTGTCTCCTTCCTAGGACCTTTCTTTGGATAACAACCCAGCAAGCCAGGAGCAAACCCTGGAGGGAGGTGAGCCATCAGGGTCCCTCTGGAGTTCAGCTTCACTCCATGGCAGAGCTGGGGTGTCCGCCCTCCCCAGACAGTGATAAGTATAGAGTGTTGCTATCCTGTAGCCCTAATGATTATAGCAGGGCACAAGGCAAATATTTCCGAGCTCCAGTGCAGAAGCAAGAGCTGGGCCCTCCCAGGCCTGGTACAGGTCTCTCATGCATACGTGTGTTATTCAAATGTCATGGTTCCCAGACAGAAGCCCTCAAAGGTCTGAAGGCTGGACCTATACTGAGGCCGACCTTTTGGGAGGGGAGCCTCTTGCAGCCCCAGCTGGCAGGAAGGGACTCCGTGCAGGGGCTAGTGTACATTCCAGGTCATGCTGGAAGAACGCCCATCTGCTGGACAAATGCTCGCCCAGTACAGCCCCACCATCCTGGAGCTTGACCTCACCCCTCACCTAGGGCCTGAGGACATGGAGAGTTGAAAACAGGTCCCGATCCAAAAGTTGGCTATTTGGAAATTTTACAGGAGCTGTCAATAAACCACCTGCTTAGAGATAAACACGATCTCTCCTGGTCCACTGCCTTCTGTGTGAGCTGGCGGCGTTATCCACGGCAGTGACGCGCAGCACGCTGCTGACCCCGAGGCTGGCTGAGTGCCCGTCTCCTACCTTTCCCTCATGTCAGCACACAATCGCCACCATGCACCCCCCACCACAGACACCACACTCAGCAGGCCTGGCGCTCACATGCTCACAGTGCTAGCCGTTTCCAGGGACAGCAAATGAACCACCTACCCTCCTTCAGCTACAGGCTCCAGCTGGCCCCAGGATCAGGGAGGCTGAGCCACAGGCCAGGGAAAGGAAGTGACAGAATGAGACCAAAAGAAAAATCATAATTGAAGTATCAAGTCTCCAGCACCCCATCATTTTCCTCTGGCATTCATGCACCCCGGAATGTAAGAGCGATTGTCTGCAGTGAGTTAAACCGGAGGCACTGGGACATTGTTTCTATGGCAACCCCTCTCGGCTCTAATTCAGCTCTGAGTTAAAAATGCTGTCAAATAATTGGAGAGTGCAGGAAAGCACAGCCAGCAGCCTGACCCCCTGTCCCGTCTCTTTCCTAGACCTCCAGGTGTACAGAAGCTGAGAAGGCCCCTGTCGCATGGGAGCTGCACAGCATGGGCTTGGCTGGGAGCACAGAACAGCCTGTAGGGAGACAATTTGAGGTCAAAGTTTGGCCCGGAAATTGGGTCTGGGTTCAGTGTGCCCTGGGCCAAGGGAAGCACGGCAGGCAGGGGGGCACAAATCCCTTCCAAGTGCTGCAGGTGGCCGCATCGCAGACCACCAGTGACAAGCGGGTTTCCACCTGAGACTGTTCGGCAATGTCAGCTGGAGCTGTCCGCCCCCCATTGCTTATCCCAGAGTGGCACACTGCCCAGGACCCCAACTCAGGACAGCCATGGTGTCCTCTGTGAGGCAGGAAGACAGAGCCCAGCTGGCTCTTTCCATCCCCTTTGCCCTGGCCCTGTCTGCTCCGTCCCGGTCCTGCTGTGGGAGTCCTCAGCTGGCCAGGGCCCCAGTTAAAAGGCGGGCGCCTGACTGCTGGGTTCATGGAGCCAGGATGGCCGAGCTCCTGCGCCTGTTGGATCCGACAAATTTCAGAACACAGCTGGGTCACGGATACGGAAGCTAAAACTAGGGTAAGGAAAGCTTCGTTGCAGGGGCCTGATCATTCTCAGACAGCTAGGCAGAGACACCAAGGACTCTGCAGGCACCAAGACACTGTAAGGCAGGAGAAGCTAGTGCGGGTCACAGGTGCTCTCATCACATAAGCCGTGGTGAACTGCAGCGCAGGGCAGTGAACCTGGGCTTCAAAGAGAGGCAGCCGCGTTCAAATCCCAGCCTCATTCATTATTAGCTGTGGGGCTTTGGGCAAGTAATTTTTCTGTGTCTCAGTTTCCTCAGCTGTAAAATAAAGCTGAAATCATCACCTTCACGGGGTCACCCCAAGGACTGCATGGGAGGCGGTTTCCACGGCACCTGGCACACACTGAACACACACACCGAGCTCATGCTTTAGGGATCTGAGTCACAGGCCCACTTCCCAAGGCAATAAAAGACGGAACTGCAAGCAGATGACACGGGAATCAGCACCCATTGTTTGCTATGTGAAGAGGCAGGACATCTTGGTGGTTAATAACACCTTTGGGGAAAAGACACGTCTGGACTGACTGAATGATGATCCCTGCTAGTTGGGTTGCTTTGAGCAAGTTACCCAAACTCTCTGAGCCTGTGGTCCTCATTTAGAAAATAGGCACTGACAATAATACCTACGCTATAAAATATTTGTAAAGGTTAAGTAAGTTAATACTGCGAAAGAGCTTCCTCAAGCTTTGATGTTCAGGCAAATCAGTAGGAATCTCGGTAAAGCGCACTCTGGTTGAATAGGTAAATAGGTACGGTGTGGACCCCAAGAGTGTCCGTTTCTAACACAGGCCCCGGCAATTCAGTGCTGCTGGTCTTCAGGTTGTCTTTGCAGTAGCAAAGCTTTCAAGAAGTTACCTCAGGCCTGGCACACTGTAAATACTCAGTAAATATCGCCTTGATGATGATGATGATTGATGAAAGGTCTAGAATAAAAGAACTCTGCCGCCAGCCTTGCTTTTAGCTATAGAATGCCTCAGCAACGCTCTATTAACCCGCAGGAAGTGTTTTTCAAGAGAAGCCTGCATATAGTCAATATGTAGTGTGGAAGGGGGAGGAGGGTGGGCTGGGCTGCAGTCTCTGTCCTATGTGGCCTTGCAGATCTTACTCTTTGGGCTTCATTTTCCTCACTTCATGAATACTTTTACATCTAAAGTTTTATGGTTTCACAAACAAAATGGCTTAGGAAGAGTTCACTTCCGCTCATCTGGCATTCCACCCGGAAGACTGTGGCCCTGGCGACATGTGCGACATCTGTGGGGCCTCCTGCTGCTGCCATCCATGCCTTGCTCTTGTCACTGACCCCAGCCTCCCGGGCTCGGCGGCGCAAGGGTGGCTCCTACCTGCAGCAATGGCTGTCTTCTTGTCCACGGTCACTGCCACAGCTGTGCTTGCTGTCACCACCATGGGCTCACTCGCACTTTCTGGGGAAACAAAGACGACCTGGTCACTGTGGAAGAGCTGTGGCTGGGGCAGGTGGAGCCCTACCACTTTCTCGGACCAGGAGATGGGAATAAAAGCAGGCGAAGACATCCTTGGAAGAATAGAGTCCGGGTGGGACAGGAGTCGTGTTTGGAGAAGTTGCTGCTGTGATAGTGGTTACAACACCGGTCTTGGACAGACACACATGTGGCCTCTGGCCGACAGAGTGGTGCAGGGATGCAGCATCCCCACGACCCGGGGTTTCTGCCTGTCTGCCGGCTTCAGCATGCGTCTTGCCCACAACACCTGTGCTACGTCCAGTGGTCCCTTCCAGGGAAGGAAGGACAGACCGCGTTTCAGCCCTGGGTGGTGGGTGACCCTGGCTTGCTCTCTGTGAGTCTGCATGAGTCAGAGAGGATGCCGACAGTCAGTCCCGCTCAGGAAGCCAGACGCCACAGCTGAGCCGCTGTCCGGCCTGGGCAGTGCGGTCCTGGGCGGTGCAGTGACAGACCCTCCACCGCACAGTGGCCCTCAAGGTCTCTGGCTTGCTTCACAGCTCTTGCTGCACTTCTGAGACTCTCTGCAGCAACTCAAGGCAAGCCCCGAGGCTCCTGAAAGCCACAGGGCTTGCCTTCCATTGCTCTCTCCACCTCTTCTGGAAGAATCAGGCCACCACAGGTGCAGCGTTTAGAGGGCAGTTTCGGCTCCACATTGAAACAGAGCTTTCTGGCTCTGATTGGGGCTGGTTACTGCAGGACCCCAGGCTTCTTAATTCTCATCAGTCCCTGGCCCCGGACTGGAATTTCAAAGCACTCTTGTCTGCAGGTCAAATGCCATTACTAAACTTCCAAGAAAGGGGCAAACATTTTCTGATGTGCGATCATATTTTGTTCGAATGTCTCGATTTCAAATGTTGCATGAAGGAAACAGGTCACAGGACTCTAGCGTGGCCATTATTACAACAGTGTCAATTACCCTGGGACTTCACCACCAGCTTTTCACATCTGCCACCAGGATTACCCACCACACCTGCTGTCATCAAATATCTCAAGACATGTAAAACTATAGTCTGATTGCAGGAACTTCCAATACGGAGGTTGTCGATTCTAGAAATTTGCCATGATGACGAAGGGACCATGGTTCCCCACCTTGCGTCTGGAGACACCTTGAAGGTAGTGATGGGGCGGTTCTAACTGTTCCCGGGTCCCACAGCCCATTGTCTGGGACAGACCTGTTGCATTTGTACCCCAGCCAGCAGAGGCTTGTAGGAAACGCTACGTGAGGATGTGAAGACCCTCACAGTGCAGTCTCTGGGGGCGTCAGGGATTTCAGTGCCTGGCTCACCGTGGCTACCCGGCGCAGCACCTGCTGGGAATGATCAGTGCACCCAGTGCAGGAGGGGGTGGGACCCAGGGAGAGGTGGGCTGTGGGGGGATGACGGGCCCCACCCAGCGCCTGGGCGTTTTGGCAAGGCTCTGCTGCGTGCCGACAGGTTTCTAGGCACTGGTGCAGCTCCAGGTGGGCAGACTTAGCCCACTAGGCCCCAGCAAAGGGCAACCGTGTCAGCCTGGAGAGACAGTGGAGCTTCCCCTCTCCCTGGGGGCGGCTCCTCCTCTTTTCTCCCATTGAACTGCAGTTGTTTTCCTTCTTTTGGGGTGCAAGGGAGTGTGCAGAGGTGGCCACGTGTCTAAGCGTGTGCGTGAGCTAAGCAAGTGAGCGGGGCTGTGGAGAGGGAGCGAGCCCCACCTCCCTCCTCGTCAGGCCCCCTTTTTGGGCTCCAGCTTCCCTCTCTTCTCCTGTGGCTCAGCTTTCCTCCCACCCACCCTCCCACTTCATGGCCACATAAAGCTCCCCCAGCAGCCAGCAGGCTCAGTCCTGGTGACAGTGCGGGCAGGAGGGAATCTGTCACCAGGGCCTGGGGCAGGGGTCAGGGGTCTCACTACGGAACCTCTCCAGGGGCCTGTGGGTACCCTACCTGGGGAGCCCACTGTGCTGCTATCGAGGGTGGGGCCGTGGAGGAGGAGCTGCCTCTTTCAGCCTTGGAGTGGGTGGTGTGGGGAGGGGTACCCCCTTTGCTTCCAGAACCTTCCTACTGGGCTTGCACTGGCAATAAAAACTCCCCCTTCTTCTTTCCTTATATTCAGTGTGGTAATGGGGTCTGGGCTTTCAGTGGGGCAGAGCTTAGCTCTGTGGCTTCCTTGCTGTGTGACCCTGGGCAAGTCACAGAACCTCGCTGAGCCTCATGTTCTCCTTGTGTAAGTTGAGAGATAATGACAGCACTTATCTCGGGGTTGTGTAGATTAAATAAAATCATTTTGTGAAGGATAGTAGTTATTGGCACTTGTGTGGAGGGAACAGGCGCGGGCTGGAAGGGGAGCATAGCACCAGGTGAGGAAGGTGGAATTCCAGAGGGTGCAAGGGTGGAGCTCCTCCCTGCTGTTTGCCTTCCCTGTCCTTGTCCCAGGAGGAGCCCCTGCGATCCTGGGCCTTCCCAGCCATCAGCTCCAGGGCGTTTCACCATCATGGGGCTTGAGGATGGTTTTGTGGTGTTGGGAGGCCTTTGGTAGAAGGGCATCCTAAAGGGGAAGTTCTGAATGACCCCAGCCCCGGCTTCCCTTTTGGAAGTCTCTACCCTCCTGCATCCCCTCCTGGGGCTCACTCCACATGCCTGTGCACACTCTCCAGATCCCAGGATCCACACACTGGGATGGGATCGGCCACCCCAGAGCTCACCTGGTGGAGGGCTGGCTGTGCCACGCACTCTGGGATCCTGGACAAGCCCTGAAGCTCCCTGGGCCACAGTCTTTGTGAGCGTGAATCAGCAGCGCCAGGCAATGCAGACCTTGAAGTCTCTACAGGCCTACATACCTGGTGGTCTTTCTGGCACTCTGTCAGAGTCACTTTCCAGAGTGGGAGCTGGGGCTGGCTGGCAGTTGGGTGCCCATCAACTCTGAGAGTCTTCCTGGTCCCTGACCTTGCAAGGGTTTTGCGGCTGCCTCACGTCCCACCCTCCCCGCCACCCGCCCAGCGCAGCCTCTCTCTTGAGCTGAGAGGGGCTTCTGGAGCATGCTGGGCACTCCCTGAGGCTGCTCCTGGGTGGTCCTGGGTTACTGGGGACTAGTTGCTTTCTTTCTGTTTGGGAAGAGCAAGGCAGCCCTACTGACTTGGTGAGTACTGCAGCCCCTAATGAAACCACTCCTCTGGATGGTTTATAAAACTTTCACAGACATAGAAGAATCTTAGAGATCAACTCTTCTGATCTCTTATTTGGAATCTGGGGTAGAATCCCACGCTGGAGTTTTAAACGCCAACTTTGATGGCTGGCTAGGAAATCAAATGATCAGCCCCACCTTCAGCGTGAGACCTGTGGTGTGGGAAGGTGCCAATGAGCTTTCTGAAGTCACTAATGCATGGCAGGAGGGAAGGCCAGAGGGGGACGCTGGTGGTCTGGACATTCTATTTCCCACTAAGAGCGCAGCAGGAGGAGAGACGAGGCTGGCCGGAGACTCGCCCAGCCTCAGGAGCACAGAGCTGTGGGTTACCTGGTCCTTCCGCCCAGCGGAGGTTGAAGACGAAGCTGCCAGCAGGGTGCTCCGAGGCCTGGCGGTACCACAGCGGGAAGCGGTCCAGGGTGAACACGCTAGCCTCGTCTTCAGGCGTCAGGAACTTCCTGCAGGGAGGAAGATGTGGACCTCTCCCCAAAGCTGTCAATAGTCATCCCTCTTCCTTTTTCTCATACGAGGTCATCTTGGCTGGGCCAAGAGAATGAGTCCCCTCTGCTTCAGCAGAGTTGCAGAGAGATACAAAATAGTAGCCCCTAAATCAGTACTGCCCCAGACAACGTTACCCAGCAAGCATCACCTTTTCCAGAGACAAAGCAAGGTTGCATCTGACTAGCAGCTAGAAGAGGTACAGGGTCTGTGTAGTGAGGGAATACGTTCCATTTTTATGTAAACTCTTTCACCTGCAGGGCTTCTTTCTTTTGGATGGAGCCTAATTTCTTCTTGTCTGGCTCCTTGGCACGTCTGAGGGAGGAGGCTGTAGAGTCAGCTCTGTCACTGCACCCACAGGAGGGCATCAATCCCCCCAAACGCTTCCTTCAAGAGGATTGCCTCTAGGTTTTCGCATGCATTATGAGTTTCCTTTTTTCAAGCAGCTTTACCTTGCTAATTATGGTTTTGCATTCCCTGAACACACCGCAGCCCACAGAAGGGAGTGTTTGGCCAGAAGCAGAGTGGGAGGCAGGGAGAAGCCGGTGGGGGTGGGGAGCAGACACAGTGCTGTGGATAACCCACAAGGTGGATAACTGAGATTTGCTTTTGACAGTGACAGGCTCACATGTTCCTGAAGCAATCTGCCTTGTGACACCGTTCCTGGGCTGCCATTCACCTCAAGGTTTTGGTGAAGGGAGCCCCCGGGAGTGCTTGCAGGAAGCAAAGGCACCGGGAAGGCCTGCCTGCCTCGAATCTCCTGCTTCCATTCTGGAAGGCTCTGAGAGAGGGCGAGGGAAGGGTCAGGGAGGCAGTGGTGCTCTTTCCTCTCCACCTCCACAGGGATGAGGGAGGGGGAGGAGGGGAGAGAGGAGGGAGGGAAAGGAAAGAGCAACTTCATTTGTTTTCCTAGAAAGCCTCAGCTTTGCTTAACAAGTGTGGATTTGTCACAGAGTCCTGGAAGAAGCTCAAAGATGGCGCTCCGTGGCTGGGCGTGCTTGCGTTTATCGAGAGGAGCAGCCAGTGGGTGAGAGGCCAGGAGAGGGGGTCAGGTCGGCTCAGGGGCCCTGGGCTGCTCTCCAGGTGCCTGCAGGTCCTCACCTGTTGGAGTCTCCTGGGTTGCGGAGCAGCAGATGGCACTGCTCGCCCCCCAACCCCTCCTTTGGGCACCGGGGGGGCCAGCCCCTGATTCCCAAGAACCCAGCCTTTGCTTTGAGCAGGGCTTCTCAGCCTTGGCACCAGTGACATCTTGTGCCAGGCAATTGCTGTGGGGGCTGCCCTGCACATGGTAGGATGTTTAGCAGCTCCCCTGGCCTCCGCCCACTAGATGCCAGGAGGAAGCTCTCTGCCTCCCACAGTGTGACAACCAAAAGTGTCTCCAGACATTGCTGAATGTCACAAAATCAGCCCCAGTTGAGCATCCCTGGAGTGGAGGCGTAAGCCTTCCATGGCCTGCGGGGAGTTGGGCCTGGACTCCTAGCAGGCAGAGTAAGAAACCACAAATCTCCCTCGTCAAGGTGGGAGTAGGTGGCTCATGAAGGCACTGCGGGGTGAGCACTCCACCTACCAGAGGGCCCCAGCAGCGGCCCCTCTCCCCTTAGGAGTGGGGAAAAGAGACACAGAAGATTCAGCCCCTCACACAGAGACTAGCCTGGAGAGGAAGGCAATTTCGGCTTTCACCCTAGAGATTCCTCTGGGTGGATTCTCCAACCAGCCCTCAACTTCAAAGTCTTCCTCCCTGATGTCCGGCCTCCATCCTCTCCTAGGGACACTGCCTCCAGGATGTGTGTGTGCCTTCTGGAAGGGCTACTTTTACTACCCTCCCAGTCTGTCAATCCCGACCCTTCTGTTGCACTGAGCTCCCAGCGGTCCAGCATGCTGGAGACCCCATGCCAGTCCACCCAGGGGGTGGCCCAGGAACACACCGGGGACTCTGCCCTTCTCCGCCCTGCAGGGATTGCCCTCCCGGGATGACTGGCCCAACCCACCTGTCGGAGACCTTCTCGGAGCCCACGAACAAGCTGCTTCTCAGGAGACCAGCCCGGGTGCCCAGGAAGGCCATGTCCACCACCTGCTCGGACTCTCTGTGTGGCAGACAGAGTGGAAGTGGTCACCACGTGGCCGTGGCGGGAGCTTGGGGGAGACCTGCAGGGGTTTTGGGGCCTCTCTTTGGTCCTGCCGAGGCTGGCTCAGGGGAGACTTTCCAGGAAGGCTGGGTTCCTGGGAACAGGCTGGGACACGCACTGTGCTGGCATCCACAGTGTGCGTCATGTCTCAGGCCCAGCTTCCGGGCAGCACCTCCCTGTGAAGTCGAGCCCTGGACCTCTGCCTCTCCGTCCAGGCAGATCTATCTCCTAATTTGTTCTCCCAGATTCTGGGGAGTTGGATCTGGAAGATGGAACTTGGAAAGGAGATTCTGTCCTGGGACCTAAGGAACAGGAATTCTCATGCCTAGCATCCTGCCGTTATTACCAAAATGCGAAGGGGCGGGGAGCAGCCGCTGTCTGCACCCACCCAGGAGGAGTCCTGGTGGACCGCATAACCTCGCCGACGAGACTTGAAAGGAAGACAGATCCCTGAGCTACTTGCGTCACATTACCTTCCTCCCAGTCACAAAGCCACAATACTTTGACCAGGGTGGGAAGTCATCCCTTTTAACCTAGATGATATTCTTGTCTTGGCGCAGGCGATTTGAGGCTATAACCTGGCTCCTCCCCATGCCCAAGCAGGGGTGCTATAGTGAACACACAAGTAGCAACCCCAAAGCACTGCCAGGCTCAGACTGGCTGGACTGCAGGGGCCTCCCTCAGGGATAGACCCCGTAGCGTCTGTGGGTGGTACCCAGGACTGGAATAAAGTCTGGAAAATCACTGAGGGAAAGGGTCTCCCCCACCCACTCCAGCGCTGTAGCCCGGGGGCTTGTACAGAGTGCGCACAGGGGTCTTAGGGACTCGAGCCCCACAGAGCCCTGCAGCAGACCTTTGAGTCAGACTCTGGGGACAGGGCCTAAGTGCCTGGGTATCCTTCAAGCTTCATGATCCAATTCTCTGTTCAAAAGCAGAGAGAATGAGCTAATGGGTCTCACCACCCATAACTCAACTTCAACAATCACCAGCCCGGGGCTCGTTTCAATTCAACTGCTACTGCCTCCTCCAACCCCTCAACTAAATCATTTTGAAGCAAATCCCAGATATTTCATGGGTAAATATTTTAATTTATACAATTAAAATATAATAAAATAACTCCGATGCCATTATTACACCTTAAGAAACCAACGATTCTTTAATATCATCAGATAATCCAGTAGCCTTATGAATTTTTTTAATGAATTTTTTTGTTTGACTGAGTCAGAATCTGTCTAAGGTTCATGCATTGCAACCGATATCCCTTATTTGTCTGTCTGTCTCTCTCTGTCTGTATTGAGATATCATTCAATACCATCCAATTCACCCACCTGAAAGTGTGCGATTCAGTAGTTGTTAGTGTATTCACAAAGTTGTGTGGCCAACAGCACTGTGAATTTTAGAACATTTGCATCACCCCAGAAAGAAACCCCACAACCATTAGCAGTCATCTTTGGCCTCTTTTAACCTGATTCCCTTTCTCCGCTCTCCCTCTCCCCTTCTCTTTTCCTTGCAATTGATTTGTGGAACAAGCAGAGCGACAAAGGGCGCTTGCCTATGGGGATTCTCCCGTTCTGGCCTTGGCGGGTCCACCCTGGGGTGTTCTTCAGCCTGCTCTTTTGTCCCCTGCATTTCCTGTCCACTGGCCGTGAGACCTCAGGGCCCCACCGGGTTCTGGTTTGTGCCTTTACAAGGCTGTTCGTTACAAGAGGCCCACACCCTCTGATTGATTAGGGCATGAAAAATACATGCATTCTTTTGTTTCTCCTTTATTTTATTTTTACCTGAAATAGTTGTATAAAGAAAAACTTCTCATCAATATTTAGTTATCCTGAAGTACAATTTTTATAGAAGAGGCAGAATAAATAATTTATTCTTTTCGTTTCTTTATCGGATTTTAGAATAATAAGTTGTTTTCCTACCAATCTTCCAAAGATGGCCAATGAGGATTTTTCCCCAGTAGCATTATGAACACAAGGATTTTAACATATTTCATTATTTTTAACCCATTGCAGTTATTTATCATTATTATTTTAAAATTAAAGACAGGGTCTCACTATGTTGCCCAGGCTGGCCTTGAACTCCTGGGCTCAAAAGATTCTCTTGCCCCAGCCTCCCATGAAGCTGGGATTACAGCCGTGCCTCCATGCCCAGCTCCCGCTGTGATTATAATTACTTTTGCTGCTCTGATCATCCACCTTTGGCTCTGGGGTCCCTTGGGCACAATAGCACTTGTCTTTGGTGACTTCTTGCTTCCTCTTATGACAAGATGTTCCAGGTTCATTGTGTACATTTCCTGTCCCTCTCCTGGAATCAAAAACATTTCTCCAAGGAGCATGGGCTCGTTTTAATGAAGACTAACATTGAAAGGCCAAAGTCTAGGGCTAGAGTACTCACTGAGGTGGGTCCTTTCAGTGGAGAGAGAGGTAGGAAATCCTTTTAATTTCTTTAAGGGAAATTACATGAGTTTAAATTGATATTTCTAATTCAAATTTAGCATTACATCTAAACGTAACTCCTTTGATTTTTGAAATGTACATATCCCTTTTCTTTTTTACTACAGATCTCGATTCTGAATGACATTAATATAACAGTATTTGCTCTCTCTATTCAGAATAACAATGCCAATATTATTTCTAGCAATGTGATTACTAAGCACTGCATAAGATTTTATTTATTTAGTGTTTACAATTCTAAAGCCCCTTGGAAGAATTCCTCTATGTTTGATTATTTCATGAACTTGATATATGGCCAGGTTTATTTGTTTCGTTTGCTTTCAATTACTAGGGGTTACTTTTTAAAAATTAATTTTGTTTTATGATTAGATAAAGCATTTACATGGTTCTAAAGTCAATATGGAAAATAAGGCATACTCAGGGGAGTCTCTGTACCCATATCCTTGTTCCTTCACTCTTCCTGTAGGAAACCTGATTTTTGGTTCCTTGTTCCACTAAAAAGTTGTATGTATGTGTAAATACATGTATACATGAATATTTATATGTACATTTGTGAAAGTAACTATGAAAATATATTTGTATTTCCTCTTTCTAGATAAACTTTGCTTCATTGCTGAAGATTATTTCAAAATGGCAGTATATAGAGATATTCTAATTTTTCACAGCTGCATAGAATTCTATGATGCGGCTCTACCACGATTTATTTAACTAGGCTCCTACTGATGAATGTTTGCATTGTTTCCAATGTATTACTGCTATTAAAGGTGCTGTAATGAGCAGCTCATAGGTACATCTTTTCATATTTTTGCCAGGGCATCTTTGGGATAAGGTTCCTAGAAGCGAGGTTGCTGGGTCAAAATGTAAATGCACCATGAAATTTTGCTAGATGTCATCAAATTCCCCGTGACAGGGCTTGACACATTTTGTATCCCACCCACAATCTGTAAGTGCCTGACTTTCTGCAGTTCTGTCAACAGTGCACGCTGACAAGCTCAGGTGGCTCTCAATCTGAGAGGTGAGGAGTCTAATCTGGGCATAGTTTTCATTGCATTTAAGACTAAATGTTAAGTTGAGCATTTTAAAATATATTTAGGGACTATTTGAATTTTTCTTCCAAGGACTCTTTGCATTTTTCCTCTGAACTGTTCGTATTTCTTGGCTACGTTCCCTCTAAGGTGGTTGGTCTTTTATGTCTCAGTTTTTGAAGTCCTTTATCGTGAATATATAATGAAGTAATCCTTTATCTGTTTTATAAGTTGCAAACTCCTTTCCAGTTTGTAATTTCTCCTTTAACCTTGCTCGTGTTTTTATATCTGCCATAGAAACATATTTTTCTCTCCTTTTTTTTTTTTTTTTAGATGAGGTCTTGCTGTGTTGCCCAGGCAGGAGTGTGGTGATGTGACGATGCCTCATTGCAGCCCCCACCTCCTGGGCTCAAGCGATCCTCTCACCTCAGCTTCCTGAGTAGATGGGACTATGGGTGTGCACCACCACACCTGGCTAAGTTATTATTATTATTTTAGAGATGGGGTCTTGCCATTTTTGCCAGGCTGTTCATGAACTTTTGGTCTCAAGTGATCCTTCCACCTCAGCCTCCTGAGTAACTGGGACTACAGGCACAAACCCCTACACCCGACCACAGAAACATTTTTAATGTTGTTAAATTTATCCATCATTCTTTTATTGCTTCTGAATTTTGAGTCATTGTTGGGAAAGGTTTCCCCACTCCTAGATTTTAGAGCAATTGGCTCATGTTTTCTTTAGTATTTATACGGTTTCGTTTTTTACATTCGAATCTCTGAGTCATTTGGACTTCATCCAGGTGTATGGTGTGAGAAAAGAACACAATTTTATCATTCTCCATATGGCTCTTAAACCAGTTATTTAAAAATCCATCTTTCCTTCATTGATTTGACAGGATGCCTCTGTCATAGACTAAATTTTCACATGCATTTAGATGAGTTTCCGGATTTCCTTTTCTGTTCCCCTGTTCTGCCTGCCTTTGCATGTGCCAATACCACACTTTATAAATCTCAGAGGCTTTGCTATGTGTTTTAATATCTTGGTAGGCCCAATCTCCTTCCTTCATTGCTGTTTTTTTTTTTT